GGCCTGCGTGGTAAGTCTTCGGGTAGGCGTACGCCGGTGTAGATCATCAAACGACTTCTTTGCCGAGGGTCTGGTGGGTGTTGTGTAAGTGGTCTTGTCCGGCAACTGCTTGGGCAGCGGTGGCGGAGGCGGCGGCTGCTTTTCTGCGATTGAGGTTATAATGCCTAGATAGACCATCATGAAGCGCATGCGCAGCGTTTCCAGTCGCCTCATTCTCTCCTCCAGCTGTGAGCGTTTCGACGCCCACATGAGCCTTGAGCTGGTCCGCAGCGTGGTTGCGCCCTCCTCGAGGACCAGGCAGCTCAGCTCATCGCGCAAGTCATCACCGATTTTCTGGATTTCCCTCAGCAGGCGGTTAAGGCGGATCTTATCCTCGAGGCGCTGGACCTTGGAGACGTCCCGGTCGTAACCTTCGTTCTCCTCGATGGAAAAGTCAAGAGTGTCAATAAAGCTAGCCACCTCCTGCGGCGCAACCTTGTATGCCGCCCAGTACGAGTTCGCAGTCTGTGCGATCATCACGATGGACATGCCAGTGGCGGTGGTGGCCAAGAGGTAGGCCCACTGGAGCCAGCCTGAGTCGGCCATTATGCAGCGGAGGGCAACGAAGCACAAGTCGTGATGTCGTCCTGGGAGGGCAAAGGCATGGTCCGGCGGGAGGAGGCGGGAGCTTTGGTGGTTGACAAGGAGGAGGAGAGAGAGGAGAGAAGAGGAAGAAAAAGAAGAAGAAAAGGGAAGAGAGAAGAAAGAATCAAAAGGAAAAAAAAGAATCACCAGCTAATGCGGCGAAACGGATTGCGATATTACGTAGTGGAGGAGGAGGAGGAGCCCTGATCCAAGCCCTGATTGGGCTGGTGTGGCAGCAGAGAGGTAATAATAATGCCAACAACTCTCTCTTTTAGAACCAAACCAAGGCATGCGTGCAAGCATCGTGGGCTAAAAAGCCGAGGGAGGAGAAGCAGGTAGACTCATAGTGCTACTAGCGAAAGAGCAGATACTGTGTGTGTGTCGGGCTCTGGGAGCGCACAGAGGCGAAGCAAGCAAGCAAGCAAACATGACGGATTCCGGATTCCGCACTCGCCTGCGTCAGCCCCTGCAAGGGCATCAGCTAGACTCAGCTATGACGACGGGGAAGAAATTCGTTGGGGAAGGGTTAAGACTGGAGGAGTCACATGGATTTCTGTCGTACGGCATTCTCATGACACGGGAGTCCGAGAGTGCTGCTGTAAAGTACAAGTACCTAATTTCACTGCAGATATCGTACCTGAGGCATCAAGACCACCATCTAATCTGCTTTACACCGGGAGGCCGATCGAATACATTATGTGTCGATAGTTTTCTTCCAGAAACATCATCCCAAACCGGTCTCATCATCTCTCCCCTGCTGATTCCCAAAAAAAGCAGCCCTGCAGAAACGGGACCCAGTCCAGCCCACAAATGGCAGACTGTCCAGTGACTTGTGCTTCCATCGTCTTCCTTGTCCTGCATATCGGCCTCTTTTTACGCTTGACTGCTGCGCCGGTTGCTGGCGGGCGTCGATCCCCAACCAATGGCACCGGCAATCCCTCGCTGTCAACCCCACTACAGCGCGTAGTACCTTTTTTTCTCTTTTTTTTCTTTGCCAGACCTTGCTGCAGGAAAAAAGGGCCGTGACTGCGGTTAAGCACTTTGCGATGACCTGCAGAGTGCATCGCAGCGGTCCAACCCCGAAGCAGAACTTGTTTCGTCCATCTGTAGATTTCTGTTATCTTATCCGGGATTGTGCCTAAACCAAATTTCTCTCCTCCGCCCTCCCACCAAAATCTCCAACCATGGCGGCCACCGCCTCGGAAGCTGTGGTGCATGAATTTCCACTGCCCGCGATTCTCACCAACCCCGCGTCGACCCCGCCAACGCTCATCACTCAAGGCGCCGAAGGTCGGCTCTACAAGACGACATACCTGCTGCCCAGCATCCCCTGCGCCCTAAAGTACCGGCCGCCGAAGCCATGGCGACACCCGATCCTTGACCAGCGCTTGACAAGGCACCGCATCCTGTCTGAGGCTCGGATTCTCTCCAAGTGTCGCAGAGATGGCCTCCGTGTTCCTGATGTCTATGCTCTGGACGAGTCGGCGGGGTGGCTGATGTTGGAATGGGTTCAGGGCACACCTGTGCGAGTGAACATCAACCAGAGGCTGGGGAATAGGACGGAGGGCATTGAAGACGATGAGGAGCTCAAGGGTTTGATGCGAAGAATCGGCGCAGCTGTGGGCAAGATGCACAGCATCGGCATCATCCACGGCGACCTGACGACGAGCAACATGATGCTGAACCCTCCTGCGGGTCAGGCCGAAACCGACAACGTGAGCGGACTTGAGGGGGAGATTGTCATTATCGACCTTGGACTCGCCAGTGGAGGAGTACACGATGAAGATCGGGCCGTCGACCTGTACGTCCTTGAGCGTGCCTTTGGCAGCACGCACCCTCGTGCTGAATGTGTATTTGGCGAGGTCCTGGATGCATACAAAAAGTCTTTCAAGCAGGCTGGCGTGGCCCTCAAGAAGCTAGAAGAAGTGAGAATGAGGGGCCGCAAGAGAAGCATGCTCGGTTAGAACGTGACATGAGACAAGCAAAGACAAGAAAAAAGAAAAAGAGAAAAAATTCTTTATTCTCTGTTCTTTCTCAGTAGCAAGAGAAAGAAGGGAGGAGATTATGTGACATAGCTCCCTGTAATGATGCCCGCTATATGATATCCCAATGGACAGACCAAATCAAACAAATAATAAATATCGCTTTTAGTGACAAAAGAAACATGATGGCCAAAAAATCCCGACACAATCCACCCGTTTACTGAAGCTCAGCTCCCGCAAAGTAGCCCTTGTTTTCGATGACACCGCGGTCCTTGACAAATGCCACATATCGAACAACCCATTGAGGAGAGAGCTCGCCCTCGAGACCAGCACCGCCATGAGCAGCATCTGCCAGCACTCCAGCTCCCCGGGGTCCGTGGCCGAGCAGCTCTCGCAATGTGCCACGAGGAAGGATATCGGTGCAGTCAGTGTGGACGTTCAATTCTATGCCCTCTTCCTCTGCTAGTTTCTGGAGGGGCGCGGGGACGTTGCAGCAGTCCTGGAGGTTGACCTGGTCGACACTTGGGTGGATCGACGTGCGCTCGATAAAGGCACGAAGCTTCTCGGTGCCAAACTCAGCAACACCGAGTCGCTTGGCAAGCCCCTGTTTGTGAAAGTCTTCAAAAACCTTCCATGATGCCAGTTCCTCTTCCAGGTTGCCCTGCTGGGCGTTGATGCGCTCGGCTTCCTTTTCGCATGTGCCCTCAAACGACATTCCGGGGAATGAGACGATGAGAAGGTCGATTGCTTGGATGTTGAGCTCCTTGCGAACCAAATCGAGTGCTTCGCGCGCATACTGCTCTCGCGCCGAAACTGATGTGCCGGGGAGGAGGAACAGCTTGACGGTGATCTCGTAGTCGCTAGCCTCCTCGCGCAGACCGGCCGCTTGCCAGTTGATTCTGGGAATGTAGAGAGTCTTGTCGTCCAGCTCCGTCCACACCTCCACGGGCGTCTGAGGGGGTGAGGGTAAAGTGTTGGAGCCGTTGGCGGGCGACGCATCAATCGCATAGTCTAGCCGCGTGGAAACGAAGTTATCTCGGAGAGAGTTGACGAGCTCTTGGTTCGATTTGGAGTTGCCGCCGCCTTTGCGAATGATGGATGGGCCGCCGGACATGACATTGCTGCCATGGCGTAGGTTGTTAGCGGGAGCATGTTAGAGAGAGTGTCTTAGACCTGAAGGAAGGACAAACCCCGTGGAGAGAATGATCTTGGTCATTGTGATGTTGGTTTGGGATCCTAGATATCTGCAATGGGATAGAGCCTAGGGCGGAAGACTTGAAGAATAAAAAACGAGGGAAGATAAGAAGATGGGAAGATAAGAGGCCGACCTTGGTTCGATAGTGCTCTATAAGGCAAAAGCAATCAACCCGGTTCTCGGCATATGCGAGCAATAACTTTTTTTTTCTTTCACAAAAATGCCTAACTAAATGTGATGGTAATATCCCGTAGTCCTACTCCAGATGGCGCTTGTGGCGGTTCATAGCACGCATTACTAATGAGGGTTGCTGAGTGGATATTGGGGGGATGCGGCCTCGGCGATAGAATTTGTAAACAGATGGTATAAGCTATCTATTCTGACACGAAATGGACCTCTTCTTGATAGTTTTACCGATACTGAAGAGGCTGCTTGAGGTGGGGGAAGATGTATGTGTGCCGCTCTCTACAGCCGGACTTTTCGTGGGATGATTTATATGTGAACTGGTGACGACCTAGAAAACGAGAGAATCTCTCCACTTTTGGTCTCGTTGTTTTTCAGTTTCCTCATGTTTCTCCGTATAGATAATATCACTGGCTCAAATGGACTTTTGCGGAATAATATGTAGCGAGGACCCTGTAAGGGAAAATACACGGGCACGTCATGGAATCAACTGAACCCTCAGAGGCCACGCGGGGTTGAGCCTTCAATGTAGCCAATCTGGTCCGGGCCCTAAAAACGCAGGGCTCTCTAGCGCTATTATCGTCCGTCAAGCGCTGAAGGTTCGCGGTGACAAAGAGAGGGGCACAAGGTACGGCCCAGACCAGCGGAAAACGGGGCACGGAGCAAGGTACCGGAGTACGTACAGCCTGTTCTCCCGTCCAACTGGAAAGCACGCGCTACTGCCTCGTCACCGACCTGGCAAACTTACCTGGTCCGAACAAGAGACGCCAGCTCAAGTCTATTCAAACCACATCTCGCCTCTGTCACCTTGTCGCGGGTGATGTGAGAGAGCCCGTCACAATGGCGATTCAGTGCGTACCGTCTCTGCTGCTGCTGCGGCGCCCGTCAGAATGATGCTGACTGGCATCTCTCTCTAGCTATCTGATTCTGTTGTCCCGTCAGGGGAAAGTGGTGCGTAGCTCCTCGTCGCTCTCGTTGCTGCCGGTGCTGTTGAATGGCGGTGGAATATGCCACGAATGTCTCTTGCTGACCGACTATCTCCCCATCAGCGTCTTGCAAAGTGGTTCACCACGCTGTCCCCCAAGGACAAGGCCAAGATTGTCAAGGACGTCTCACAGCTGGTCCTCGCTCGAAGAACACGCATGTGCAACTTTTTGGAGTACAAAGGTACGTGATGAATGTCAAACCCCATTCATTGCCTCGTTGCCCATGACAAGTTTAGCTAACGAATATCTGTCATCTACCAGACACCAAAATTGTATATCGACGATACGCCTCGCTCTTCTTTATTGCGGGATGCTCCTCCGAGGACAACGAGCTGATTACGCTTGAAATCATCCACCGATACGTCGAGCAGATGGACAAGTACTACGGCAACGTGTGCGAGCTCGACATCATCTTTTCCTTCACCAAGGCGTACTACATCCTAGACGAGCTACTTCTTGCCGGAGAGCTACAGGAGAGCAGCAAAAAGAACGTGCTGCGCTGTATCGGACAGCAGGATTCACTCGAAGACATGGAGGTAAGTGCTATGCACAGTTCATTCTGACGGCCGCATCGCATCGACCCTTGCTTGGCCCTTCCCCTCGCGTGATGCGTTTCCGCCGCCTCGTTCCGGTTAAGGCTATGCGACTTTGACACAGCTGACACCGAATTTCCTCAACGCAAAAGGTCGAAGACGAGGTCACCAAGATCCTATAAATTGCGCGCATACGACATTGAGTACTCAAGCGCGCAGCCTTTGGACGAGCGATTCGTTTTCCACCGACCGGCCCGTCATCACCACCTACCACACAAGGACATGCCCCTATCGTCCCACCAGCTTCTTGGAGTCGTCGAGGCGCAAGAGTTGAGATGGATTTGATAGTTAACAATTGGTGCAGCAGGCCGAGCAAATCACAGAGAAGCTTCGCGAAGTGGGGATTCTTTGATACACAAGCCTCAGGATACTGAGCATCTCTTCGATGGGAAGAGAGGACATACTGGGGAGAAGGGGATAGGGATGTGGACGTGGATGTGCTGGGAGAGAGAATATGGCGTCATTTTTCTTTGTGTGTATAGATCTTGGAGGATGGAAAACCATCCTCTCCCGTGTCAAGAGAAAACAGAGGCATCAGGGGAACGGTCTCCAAAGTCGGCGGACGTGTTGCCGTCATTCATGAACAAGGGCCATGAGTTGGCCATTTGGTTGAGGTGTGAATCTAATATACCAGGAGACGAGAAGAAGGAGCAACAACGTCGAAACCAATTCAAGAACATTTCCACATCGTCCACATCGTCATTGATTCCAATCCAGTCCACTTACTGCACAGTCTCGTCTCATCTCGTCTCTCGTTCCGGCCTCCCGCATCACATCGTCTTGTCATTGTCGCGCGTGGCAGCTCCATGCATCGTTATTCGTTGCACTACCAAAACTGACACCAGCAAATGGGCTCGCACGAACCGCCCACTCTGCCAACTTGGCCCCCTCTTTTCCCGCACCATGACTAGCAGTAGCTGAGTCTTGTTGTGGTGGTGCAGGTCTTGGTCGTCTTACTATCCAGGCCATCTGGCCATTTGCCGGGCGCAGCCGACGCGGCGATCGGATTCGGAACTATAAGGAGAAGCGCCAAAAACCCACCGACTCTCTGGCTTGAGGAACGTGGGCTATGCACGGAATGGCGATTGACGTTCTAACTTTGCTCTGGCTTGTCTTGCTTCCGATCAACAGCACGACGTGGGAGTTTGAAAACGCCGCCGGCAGAGAAACCTGCTGAGGGCAACATCCATGGATGGCTACAGCGCTCAATCCCCCCTATTGCCCCCCAAGATACAGTGAGTACAGTGAACCCACCGTCGGCCTCCGCCTCCACTGCAGCACGCAAGCCCCCACCATCTGGCGACTGATTGATGTCACTGCCAATGTCGGGACGCTGATGCGCGTCACCCCCCGATCCGGCTTCCTGTCCACTAATGAACCGAACCCGACAAACCACACAGTGCCGCCAGATCTCCCTCTCCCTATCTCTCCCTCTCGCTCTCTCTTCATTAGCCCTCCTAGCCTGCCTTTGAATCTGTCGGTCTTCACCAGCCCTGTCTTCCTTGCTCGCGAATCAGCTGCACTTAGCGTCAACAACGGCTGCGCTACTAGATCTCAAGTCGAGCCTTGCCGCAACACCACCAATCCCTGATTCCTCCTCCTTCTCCTTCACCCTCCTCGCCTTGGGTGACCAGACAATCAATACCAAGAACACGATTCCGGCTTTTCTCCTTTCTCCCTACTTATTGCACGGCAGAATCCGACAAGGACGCTGGACTTGATTGTATCGCAGCGCTTCTCCCCCCTGCTTCAACTCGATCGCCGTGCGGATCCGCGACTACGGCCCCAGAGTAGAGACCGATCAACCGACGAGCGTCACCACGACGAGCCCGACCTCGCCTTTGAGTGCTCTTTGCGCGCAACACGAACGCCTGAACAAAGCGATACCGCACGTCATTTGCTACCAATCTTGTCGGCTCTAGAGACATTTTGAGTCTCCGTCTCTAAATCTCGCCTTGATTATTGTCTCATTCACCGTTTATCGCTCGGAGATCCAACTTCGGTGCAATTCACGGTCTTCACCGCACGTTATTTCTCTCCGTCGGCTTTTCCCCGTCATCTATCAATTCATGCAAAGAACCAGAGCAGCATCCAGCAGCCAACATGAAGGTGAGCGGAATACATGACCGGCTGAACTCCGACGTGAGACAATCCCCGGCTGACGAGACATCCCCACTACGCAGTACCTCCCAGTCCAAGAGTTCGAGGCCGTAACCGGCGCTCTCAATTTCAACACGCCCGACTGCAATGTCACAGGCGGGTGCGATCTTTACACAACTAAGTCTACCGGATCCGACAAGAAACTCTACAAGAATATCGACAAAGATCTCAGCTCTCAACATGCTGCGCTGCTCAAGCTGGGCGCCAGCCTGTCACCACCCGATAGAGAGCACATGCTCGCAACATCGCGCAGTATGCAGCTCTTTTCACACTCGAGCGCATTTGGCCCGCTATCAGAGCTTTCTAGTCGTCGGACGTTTGCTTACTTGATTGCGACGCTCAACGCGAGTCACCCTCACTACGACTTTTCCCACGTCCTGCGGCCCGGCGACTTTAAGCGTGAGAGAAACCTGAAGCGTGTCATGGCCAATCTGGACTCTATCCTGCAAAACACACGACCTGGTTTCGATTTAGGCTCCTCATATGATTCTTCCGCTGGAAGCGACGTCAACGCCCAGTGGGGGCCTCAGTGCTGGTCATTGATCAACAAAGAGATGCGCTTGAACGAGTGCACAATCTTCAGCTACCACCCAGAGGTCGACCCCTTTGAGGAAGACGAAAGCGCCATTTGGGCGGTGCACTACTTCTTTTTCAACAGGGCGCTCAAGAGAGTTGCCTATCTCTATGTCCGCGTCGTCCCTGTCATCTCATCACAGAGCCCGACATTGAGACCCGTAAAGGGGGGCGTCCACAAGCGACACACGGCAGTCGAGTCAGACGGCGCAAAGAAGCGCACAAAGTATTGGCTAGGCGACCAGGACGCTGAGCTAGTACCGCCGTACGAGGACGATGAAGAGCCGTTGGACGATGGCCTGTACTGGAACCGCGGCGAGGACGGCGATATTGTGCAGTTTTCGGACGACGACTTTGCTGAAGATGAGCCCGTTGACGAGGACGAAGACGAAGATGACGACTACGACATGACGAGCCCCAGGCGGGAGAGACTTATGAGCGAAGATGTTGCAGGACAGATGGAGATTTAAGGCGACGCCTTGTCAACCACACTGTCTCCAATCCAATCAAACGAAACGTCATGTCTTTTTCAACACGACATGCACTCTGTCATGACAAAAATGACCTCCACGTCCGCCTCTATACTCCAACAATCTGCATGAAAAGACTCAACCTATCTCATATCCACTCCCAGCTTTGCAACTCATGGAAAAGGAGAGCTACATTTGCCGAAACTCTTCTCGAGCTCCTTTCCCCTCTCCACCTCCCGCCTCATTACTCCTGCTTGCTACTTATCTAATTTGGTTTGGATCGACTGAAGGGGGCCTCTCTCACCCCCCGCTATGCTTTTATGCTTTATCATTGCTATGATTATGATTTTGTGTCCTTTAGCGTGGCGCAAGGTTTTGGTTTCTGGTCGGTGAGAGCGACTGGGAACAACGTCGCCCGGAGTTTACCATTTGTCTTTGTTTTTGCTTGGCTTTGTTATTTCTCTTATTCGCCTCATTTACTTATTTTCTTTCATTGTGTTGTGTTATTTTTGGATTAATTGGTGGCTGCCTCCGTGAGAAGGGTGGCTATTTATCATTTATTGCTACGTCGTTTTATTTATCGTCTGAGCCTGGATCTATTGATATCCTCGCGGACATGTTTTGCTTTATTTCTATTTATTTCTTTATTCTTCTATTTCCTTTCTTTCTTGTTTTTATTGTATGGAATCACGTGGTACACGCATATATATAACGCAGTAATGCTCCGATCCGCCTCGCTGGCAAGAGGCTTCGATGGCTATTCTATTTCTGAGATTCGGCCGGCTATGCAATTTAGTTTTTCAAGTATTTAATGCTCACCATATGTTCAAAACGTCTATTTCACACTGTTTGTGCTAGCTACTATGTGTCCCTCGAGTCGTATATCAAACCATTACGGCAACTGCAAGTAAATCAACAAGTTGAGCAGGCTCGAGTCCTCATGGGAGATCTTGGGAAACACACTAGCAAAGGCCAGAAAAAGCGAGACCGCGGAATGAATACGTACATATATATTTAGTAAGGTAATATGAGCACCTAACCAACTCGTAAAACGCCTATTCAGCCAGCACCCGAACTTTATTATATAGATATAGTAGCAGTTTTTAGAAAAAGTGTAGATATAGTAGCAGTTACTAGAGAAATATAGATATAGTAGGGAAATGTAGATATAGCAGCTACTCCTGTTGTAGGCGTACGGTTCAACTCGGGGGTGTTCGAAATCTTCCGGGTCTCGGGTTTTCTGTCCTCCGCTTGACACAACAACACACACATTCAATTTCTTCACCGGATACACAATACAGTCATGTAGCACGAGCTATCCATTCATCTAAATAATGCGGCTAACGAAGAAATGCCTGCAAGGAATAAGAAGCGAGAAAGATAAAAAATATAAAGACTAACGAATCCAGCCTTCGAGTCCGCCCAGCATTTTTCTTTTCCGCAATGTCCCCCCATTTAGTAATTATCAGTCCCTATATCTCGAACTGCTCTTTACGCAGAATTTCTCCAGTCCGTATGATTAATCTCGGGGTATCAGTAATCGTAGATGTAATAAAATGAATAATGTGTGATGTAAAGAGCACGCTGCCATCAAATGCTCTACCCAATCCCCGTCGACTGGACCATTTATCAATACTGTTTTAAGTAGGGATAAATATCGTGGAGTAGGAAATATATCAAATGCAAGAGGAATATCAGATGCAAAATGCAAAATGTAAAAACCCGAGGATAGGCAATGCTATCAAACAGCGTATTTGAAGAAAAAAGGGAGGGAGAAATAAGAATGTAAGCTCATATGATGAAAATACGGTGAAATTGGCTCCTAAACAACGGATGCCTTTCTCCTTCGCCCAAACATTCTGGCGAATCCACTGGGCTCGTCCTGAGGGACTGAGACTTGAGTGGGAACAATCTCCGGCGGTGGTTCTGAATCGCGCAGAAATCTCGCCAGGTCCGCGGTCTGTCCATAGGAGACAGGCTCCCGTGTCTCATATCTCTTCATGGGGGCCCTGTTGATATTGTTCATGCTCACAGGAGGAGGATTGACGTTGGTCGGCCCATACGCATCATAGCCCGCTGGCATCTGGATCGGAGTGTGCTTGCTTCGACCGTTCATCGAACGCGATTCACCACCAAATCCCAAGGCACTGGCTCGACTGCTGGGTGCCCGACCTTCGTTGAAAGTATTGACTTCCTTGGAGCCACTGCGAGTAAACCGGCCAATAAGACCAGGTGTGCTGGTCTTCTTCTTTGGCATCTTCATGGGTGGAGATGGGGGCTCCGGCGGGGGGTCGTAGTTGAGCAGGAATTCCGCGAGGCTCTCTTCCTTCTTAGGAGGAGGCCTGGGGGCGATGTCAAAATCATCATCCTCTTCTTCGTCGCTGAAGTCGATTGCGTATGGGTCGCGAACGCGGCGAGTTTTTCTCACAGGCATAGGCATACCCATGTCGTCGTCGTCTTCTTCACCGAAGAGTTTATTCGCCTTTGGCATGCCCCTGTTCTTGAGAAGCGCGGAGCTGGAGTTGACGGAGGACTGTATCGATGGCATCGAATTATCCGTCACGCTTGTAGATGCCTGGCTATGACGCATGTCGGGAAGAACGGCATCAACGGCTCGGCCGCCCACAGCGCCTGACATCATGTCTACGTCCATCGTGTTGCGGAAAGGTGCCACATGCCGAGGAATGTGATTTTGGCTACCTGGAATGGGTGGCCCTTGTCGTATAAAGTCGATCAAATCCGAGTTATCGTTTCTGCTGCTAGCAGCAGCCTCTCGAGGTTGGTAGCGATTTCGAATGCTGCTGCGACTATTGACAGTAGAAGTAGATTGCTTGGGCTCTGGGATGCTTGCAGTCGGGCTGGCAGGAACGCGAATATTGCGCAGAGCGGCTGGGCCTCTGTCACCCGCTGGGCCTGTAGACTTGATAAAGTCGGCAAAGTCTGCAAGTGACTCGCCAGGTGCGCGAGCATCACGAGCCTGAGCTCCGCCCATTCGGCCAGACATAGCAGCGGTTCCTGCAGGGGCACGAGGAATCGGTCCAGAAAGCTTAGGTTTATGCTCAGGAGCCCGAGGACTGGAGGGCTGTACTCTTGGGATGGATGGCGATGGACTCGAGACAACCGGTGAAGACCGCATTAAATCCTCGCTCTTACGAGTGACCTTGGTAACAACCGGGCTGTCATGAGGTGTTTTGACCTAGAGCGGAGTCAGTCAGCAAACTCTATCAATGCTTACATAAAAAGAGAGGCGGGAACATACGTCAATGTCACGCATATTCTCCGGCGTCAACGTGTATGTGATGGTTTGGTTGCTTTGGATGAGCTCCTCGAAGTTGCGCGCCATGCTTTCGGCGCGGTTTGATGAGTCGTCCGAAGTGGTTCTGACCGCCCTGAATCGGCTGGCAGTACTCGAAGAGGCAGACGAGCCAGACGTGTGGATCTGACGAGGAGGAGCGATGGAATGCAGCGCTGCTTCCTCCCTCTCCTCCGGCACTGGTAGGTCGACTGCGGACAACGGAATCTGCCGATTGGGATGCGCTCCGGCTCTGTGAGGAACATCTGAAAACTGTGCATCGGCAGCGCTTTTGGTGGCTTTCAACGAGAACGATCTTTGGCGAGCGTGCTCGCTTGGGGAAGTAGAGCCAACGTTTGTCTGCAGGCCGTGTGGGAGACGATCCAGTTGCTCTCGAGTCCGAGACGCTGTTACAGGCTTGACAATAGGGTTCACTTGGTCGGTGTCTTCCTCGGATTCGGAGATGGTGGCAGCGTTTGGAATTGGTGGCCTCATCCTCTCGACTGGAGACCTAGCCGCTGATAGAGGCACTCCCGTCCGCGAACTGGTGTCGATTGCCTTGGCTTTTCGCAGCTCGTCGGCGCCTCCCGAGCGTGACAGAGGGCTTGTGCCAGAAACGGTGCTTGCGCGCGGCCGCTCCGTCGATTCCAGAGACGGTGGCCGAGTAGTGGCGGGACTACGGGGCGGGACGTCAATGAGGCGCGCAGAGTGAACACTGGAAGACCGGCTCAGATGGATGGGTCTATCCGAGGCGGATCGAGAAGAAGTGCTAGAGACTGACACTCTGGACGATGTCAGTATCTCGGCCTTTTCATAAACAATCTCGTCGAATTCATCCGATCCACTTTCGTCTGAGTCGCGGTTCTTCTTGAGAGAGCCCTCCTTGTCTTCGGGTGTCGCTTTGTGCTCCTTCGATTCAAGGGCGTCCTGCTCTGCCTCTGCCGATTTCGAGCTTGGTCGTGCCGTTGCATAAAAGACCGACCTTCTAGAAGTTGGCAGTGAGGTAGATCTCCTGTGAAGTCCAAGCAGGGTGGCGTAGTGCCCTGACTCCGTGGCCAGAGAATCGCCTATCAAGGAAGCTGTCCCGGCGAATGACTTGACGCGGCGTGCGTCAACATCGACCTTTTCTTCCTCCTCCTCATCCTCGTCGTCACTGTGGTGGGCCAAACCCGGCACCTCGATTTCAGCAACGTCATTGTCCCCCATAGGTAGCGGAATGTTCATGGGGTGGACTTCCTCTGCAACGGCGTTTTCGTTTTCGGGGCGATCTTGCGCCTCGTCAGAACCATTGTCATTCTCAATAGCAGGGCTCTTCTTATCCTGAACCACAGCGGCTGGACTATCTGCCTTCATGTGGCTAATGGAGAGAGACCGGGCGGTTGCGAATTCGCCTGGCGGTGAGCGCATCCTCTTTTTCCATCCTCGCCATAGGCGACCTAGAGTTCGATCAAGCGCAACTCGTTCCATGTCGACATCCTCCACTACAATTCTTTCAGAAACAGCAGCAGGGCTGCGCGTTCCATCTTTGAGCTCCTTCTCAATCTTGGAGCGTATTCTTTGGCTGGCTGCTTGTCCAGCAACAGTAAGTGTGAGCTCACCCATGTATTCCAAGACTGAAGTCAGGAAGATGGCCACGGCGGGCGAGATGATGTCAGAAGTTTTCTCATTCTCGCCAATCTCGAGGTTTTCTTGCGTCATGTACTTGTCTTCGTCTTCCTCCTCCAAATCTCCCAGAGACGAGTAGACCATACACCTCAACCTGGCCCGCTTCCAAGCCAATTCAACGTCCCAATCCCGCGTATTCGGGCTTTGAGGGTCGGCATACTCTTCTTCTTCAGAGCCTCCAAGATACTCTCTAAGCTCCTCGTCGGCATTGCTTATAGTTTCTTTAGCCAGCTTGGGCTTGAGCACATCGGAGACAGCCGGTCGCAATGCGGAAAGTGAGGTAGATCTGGCAACTTGTAGAAAGTTTAATAGCAGCTGGTCGAGGAAACTGTTGACTAGCTGCAGGGCGGCAGGGGATATCTGAGCGGGTTCTCCAGACGGCTCGATACCGTTTTGGTCGTACCAGGTGGCTTCGTGACCATCGTGATCGTTGGTGACAATTTGGGAAGCTGCAGTCGAAGCAATGAAGGCGGCCTCTGGCGATACAGAGAGCGGAGGTGCGAAGAAAGTATGGCTTGCGATCGAAGGCCTGTCGCTAGAGATACTCTGTGATCGCACTTGGCGCGGCGAACTGACGCTGCTCGTCGGGCGCGACTCGACGGCGGAGCCCGTCATGGCTGAAGCTGGATGTCTATCGAATGTGTCGTAAGGAATAGAATAGGGGGTTCTCTTGATATTTGCCCCCTCCTTTCTTTTCTCTTCCTGTCTATCGCTTTTGACAGAAGTAATGACTTGCGTGATACCAAATCAAGTGGAAAGAAGAAGAGAATCCCGCGACCTCGTGTCGGATTCTGCAGCTCGTCGGCAGTTAATGCGAACAGGCGACAGGCAGAGCAGAGTAGTGCGACTACCTAGCTATTCGTGGAAATGGGGCCGCAAAAAGAAAAAAGGTAATCAATGCTCTAGATAAAGGCCCCCTGGTCGTTAGTTAGTTCATGAATCGGGACACAATCGAACGACTGAAATGGCGACAGGCCCGCAAGCACATGGCTTTCTGGGGACCGGGATGATGAGACACAGGAGGGTAAAATGCTGGCTAAAAGTGAGTCCAGCCTGTGATGGGAAAAGACACGACGTGGAACAGAACAGCCTGGTGCCACAACGGAGCAGGTCAGACTGATGTTGGCACTAGCAATCAGATTCGCGCGATGACACTGAATGCACAGGGCAATGTCTAATGATGGAAAGACATCAAAATGAGGTTGCAGGAAGAAGATCAAATGCAACTGTGACGGGCGATGTCGAGAGGTAAAGCAAAAGAGGGAGGACGTGCATCAAAGGGGGGGAGAAGAAAGAAAGCCGGCACCACTTGGTACGGGTACTTTTCTTAGTGCAGCAAGAGTGCTTGAGCTTGAGGTATAGCTCACGATGAACAGCAATCTACCTGTGTGTTTTTCTTCCATACCTGTTGAATAACATACGTGAGGATGTGCGCTGGCAAGTCAATGCAGACAAAGCACGGCTCGTGACATGCCCGCTGCTGCAGGTGGTTGAAAATGTAAAACAAAGCACTCGTCGTGATACGAAGAGAAGTCGAGATGCAGATATGAATGGGGCTTACGGTACTGCAGCGGACGGGGATTTCTTCCGTCTGTTTTTTCTTTAAATGAAGACTGGACCCCTTTCGCTAGAGTTTAATGCTGCTGCTAGTACCTGGATGGCAGTTGTTAGCTGCACCAGACGTTGAAAGAGCAGCTGGATTAGAGAGAGAAAAAGAATGAGCCGAACAGGGCTCGTCTAAAATAAGCCTTGAAAAGGATCGACATGGCATCAAGTGTTCTCTTGCATGAATGTATAATTGGGATTTCGGATTGCTCACCCAGTCAAAATGCTCCTTGCACGACGAGATTGACGCAGTCTCTTCCATTCAGTCGCAGATCAAACGCTACCTGACTTGTAAGCTGATGTCTAGCGTTTGTCTATCCGTCTGCGCCTCTCCCAGCCCGTGTTCCCTTCTCTCCTCCATCCCACCTCTTGACATTTTCCTTCTTCTTCCTCTAACAACAATTCCCCGCCTCATCGGATCTTTTTTCTTTCTTCATTTGCCCTTTCGGCCCTGACCCTCAACGGCCGACTCGCTCGCCCGTTTCCAATCCCAATCCTGCAAAGTCCCGCCTCCACTCCGCCCCAGGCCATGGCGAGACGGGCCCTGGCTTGCCTGAACTTGGCTGGCCAGGATGCCTGAAGGGGTCTAGCACTGGAGCGCCTAGCGTGTTCTTTGGGGCCCTTAGCCGTGTTCCCACAGCCGCTAGAAGGAGCCTGCCAGCACTCGAACCCGCAAGCTTTCAGGGGTCGCATCAACGGTGCCTCTCAAATTAATATCGGGACGAGATTTGGAGCCTCGATGCTGGGATGCCTCATTTCTTGGGATCCGGAGGCTATCAAAGGCGACAACGTGTTTCTCAGTCCATCTGCTGCCTCGTCTGGTGCAACAACGCTGACGAGTCCCGTCCTTTCGACAGACTGTGCACACTGTGTTGGCTGATCACAGCATATAGACTACATGCTACTGCAGAGCACATACGCACACGCACATACAATCTCGACTATGACTCCCTCACATCGTGCCTCCACACCATCTGCATCCGCATTCCTCCTCGGAGTTTGGATAGGTCAGCCTGGTCGTATCGCCAAGGTGCCCATCGGTTAGTCCAACACTGCCTAAAGCGGCAGTCCTGATATCAACGGGCCAACGCTTACTGGCGCTATCGAGAGCTGTCGTGATGGAATCGAGCTGCGGAGTTCATCCGAACAGAGAGAAAACTTTTCTTTTCCCTGGACGGCACGGCTATCGACAGTTTGCAGCTCAGCTCGCTCGCCATCGATGCACCTGACTCGGACACGGTCTGTCTGCTTTGCTAGTTTCTGAAAGCAGGGCGAAACGACACGAGACAAACTCCGTTGTTTGGCCTGCTAGCCTCACGGACTAGTTGTATATATGCGGCGCGATTGCTCCACGCACCAGGGATCATGGCACGACGACATCTGTGTGTATAGAATTTGATGCTGACAGTTGTCTCAAGGTGATTTCGTTTTGCTACAGTATTCAAAAACGTGCACGTTATTTGCGGTATTGCGGCCCATACGAGCCACCCAAGACCGCTTGTTCCTGAGAAGCATCGCAACATCGGCCCAGACAGTATCCTCTCAGGATGGCGCACACTGGCGCGAATCTCTCCGGAACCCCTTCGCACCGACCCGTTGAGCTCCCAGCTTTGTCTTCGCAGCGCCATTGTGAGCTAATCTCAGCTCCCACCCAGCCACTATGACGAAGTGAATCCCCAGCCAACAGCACTAACAGCCTCACTGCGCTGCCAAAACGAGATCCCTCCGGACGACACTCCTGGATCCTTTTGCAGACAACCCATCCATAATACCACTGAGTACCGAACACCAAACAAATACAAGTCCTTGCGATAAGCCGTAGACTGCTGCTGCCTTTCATACACGTGGGCTATGTGCAAGGCACGGTGCATGGTTTGCTACGGAGCATCCGTCCCTTGATTAATTCCCCCCCTCACCCATGAACGACGAAGCATTGGCCATCCGTCCCCCGCTCACTACAGATGGCCCCCAAGAGCATCCCCCCAAATCCCGAGCCGGCATGGCCGCCAGCCCCGGGCCTTGTGGCGTATCTGGCCTGTCCTGACGCTGGGCCAATCAAGAAACGACTACGAGGCAATGGATAGAAGGCGAAACACGCCGGAGTCGGTTAAAGCCTTGGGGATTTTCCAGGGTTGTTTCGTTTCGAACTTGACGGCGACCTGGCTTTGCGCTAAGAGTCTTTGCTGTCGACATTCCAGCTAGCCTTCTATTCTGATCTGGTGATAACTACTAGTACATACTAGCAGACTTGCTCCGCAGTCCGTGCCAAATACTCTACCGCAGGTGGGAGCAGGGCATTCTCAGCCACTGGCAGAATTAAACTTGGGACTGGCCAGGCCTCATCCATCGCTTATCGTGGCAGCTTAGCCTGCCCCTGTAGCAGCAATATAGCCCTGCATTCAGCGGAGCATTCGTACATGTAGGTCTTGTGCATGTCTCGGAGCATACGAATTCCTCCTCAGACAAAAGACGCTGAGGCGTTTTGTATACAGGAGGAGCCAGCTTCTGCCCAGTGCTCGATACTGCCTATAGTAGAAAGTGCAGCAGCAGTGGTATAATACGTAGTAGTATCGAGCGTTGCACTATGAGTTTCCACCTGCCTGAAGAGTTGATGCTGACTGCATTGATCACCTTTGCTAACGCATACAAGCACCGCGAGATACACTCTCTGCAACCGTATCAGGGCTCTGCTCTGTCCACCAATAGGACAATCTTTTTAACATAAACTGCCCTGTTAGATGCTCGACAAGGCATTATTCCGGGGCTGCCGTGCTTGTGCGACTACGAAGTGTATGGGCAAGTTAGCCAACCAGCAAGGACAGCGGCAGTTGAACAAGATGCCCCGGCATTTCCAAGGAAACAAAGTAGATGTAACAGACGGATGTCTGCATGCGAATAGACATGAATGAAGTAACCCAATAGTACTCACCGCTCAACGGTTTACTTGGAGAGATATTTCCATCGATACTGCTCTCGGAACATTTAGCTGAGTACAATTCCAGAGCATCACCTAGTCAGTCAGCTTTGTTCATTTCATGAAAGGATGACATCTTCATCCTCCGTACCCCCCCAAAAAAGAAGTTAGGAGATCGACAGAGCCATGGCTCCGCATCGGCATCCTTTTGTAGCATCAGCGTCCTTCACGCAGCAACAAGGTGAGGTGCGTGGCACAAAAAAGTCGCTTCCCGTCGAAAAACCCACGCAAACTTGGATGTCAGCTCGGCGAAGCCCGACGTCCGCACTTTGCTGGAGACGAAAGGCTCTATTGTGCGACTCGATGGCATATCCCGATCCCTGCTTGAAAATGCTGCTCCGAGAGGATTGCTTGCTACAGATAGGTAGTAACTCGTATTGGTATGTAGTTGTAAGCTGTGTTATGCACATAGGGTCTACCTAAAGGTTTGCCAACGCTGCAATCGGTGTTTGTGGCTTCAGTCACCGGCGTTTGTCCAGGCAGGATGACAATGTATGTTTGCATCATTGAGTCTACAGAAAATACAGTCTTGTATCTCTGTGTGCTACTCTTTGAATGGTTTAAAACATACAGGAATTAAGAGGATGGTTACTTGCTACCTTGTTTAGCCGGAGCAGGAGTCTCGTGGTGGCAACTATTTGCTTTCCTCTTGATGCACATTACGACAATTCCCATGTAACTAAGAATAGATTTAAACAAATTGTAATTTAGGTTTATCTAATAGTACTGTTGGAAGCGCATTGAAATGGTAACTTAGCAGCTCATTTTGATTTGCTGCCACGGGTGTGTAGGTCGAATATCTCTTCGCCGCGTGACAGAGGCGTAACAAGATCAATTACGACATACAACAGCTGCAATGTAGGCATTTAGAGTAAAAAGTGTAATAGATATCATAGTCACCGAGGTAAGAAATGCGCAACAAAATTTTCGACGATATAATAAACAGGGAGTCACTTATCTCAATTCCGTGCAGATGAACAAAGCAGGAAATCGTGTTGGCATGCTTCAACACCATGACGACCAACTGACACATCCCAAACACCTTCGCCGCACCGTAATCCTCGGCTCAGTATAAGAAGAGTAATATCAGAGAAGAGTCATGATTCCCAACGGACTAAGTCGAAAGAGAGGGCTAAATAGAAATATATTGTTCTTCTCATGCACGAACTCGACCCGTTTTCCCAGGTAATCTACAAGTCAGAGAACCTCAGTTCACAACACATTCCATCATTTCTAAATCTCAAGGAACAAAAAGGGTCGATTCACTCGAAAATTTGCTGTCTAGCCTTCAAATTGCAGTAGCTCATCCCGCTCCTCGTTGTGAACCTCTTCGTCATCAATCTCAGCCTCTCCATACCGAGAAATGAGGCCTCCTCGAGATGCTCTATTTTATAGGGAGCAGCAGGTATTAAATACCCAGTTCTTCAAGTATCTTCTACTATTGCCATTCTCTGCTACTATACCTGGGCGTTAGTGAGGTTGCGAAATTACCTTTGGGGGTTGCTTACCCGTGGTGTGCGATTCTTACTGCTGGTTTTGCTTTTTCTTGGCCGTCTACGCTCGTGATTCTCGCCTGGCTCCATTATCTGGTAGGTGGGAGTGTGTGCGAATGTCCTGGTAGATTGTGAAGAGATGTGAGAAGAGAAAGACATGATGATTTTGCCGAACTGGGAAATACCATTTTGGGCAGAGCAGCTTGGTGTTGGTGGAGGAGGAAGGTGCAACTTTCAAATTCATCTGGCAGCGTTCACATGCTCGCCAGTGCCGTCACTGCTGGTAGCTACATTTCTCTAGTATCTGCTACTATAGCTACGTTTTTCTAGTATTCGCTATTACTCACGACAAGTAGATACTAGATACCGTGGAAAAATAGGGGTGCTAGATAGGCCTTCCCATCTCATAGTAGATGTAGACATTTCGAGGAGAATGTAAAGACAAAAACGGAGCTAAGCCGCACTTTTCGCTTATCACGGAGGAGCGGCTGCCCATCGATAAAACTATGGCAAAACATCACCTTTTAACACCATGGCAACCTTTTATCTGACGTCCTTCTCCCAAGATCAGAATTTCGTGGTCGGGTTGTACAGCAAGAGCTCACTAATGTCCATATCACCGTTAGTGGCTATCATACTTACTTGGTAGTACGTTGGACAAACAACTCGAAGAGAAGAACACAAACCGCAAACAAAGAAGCCAAAACAGGCACTCTCGAAACTCTAACTCTCGGCGTGTTATCTGACAGAGTCGGCTGTGTATCAATTCTCGCCACAGAATACGCCCTGTTCATCTGCTAGAAATGGCATCAGATACCTCTGAGAGCCATCCGGGACTCGGGCGCCATCATGCTCCTGGGCAGCCAACGAGGAGTCAGAGGCCATCACCTTCACTGGCATCTTTGGGGCGATACACAGGTCTTAGCCATGACGAATTCCCAAAATCTCGCTCATAAATTGTCCCCGTTTCTACTAATGCTGTTTCTAGAGCAACTTGTTTCCAATGGATCGTCAGTACCATTTTCTCAACCCAACTCTTCGCCCCCTAATCACAATCTACCCCCTCCAAACCTCCATCTAGAAACCCCCTCCTCATCAAATTCAGCCTCGTTGCCGTCAGGGGTATCATTCCCGTCTTGCTGATGCCCGAAACACTCTCCAACGGCATCTCATTCAGGCCAAATGGGTGAAGATACTCCTATAAGCAGTAGGACCAACGACCGTAAATCTGCCTTCACTTCCACAAAATCCACGCCCACGGTCCTCTTCCGCTGTCCCACAATGTAGCTCTCCCAAAGCGCAATTCTCGTCATGACCGCCGTCATATCACATTTCAGAATCATCGGGGTGGAATTCAAGCGAGTATATGTACCGGCCATACCCACACGCCACATGAATACCATATATTCCATATAATCGACGACACTTTGGCCAGAGCAATACGCATACAATAACTCTTTTTTATTACACCTATTCCTTCTCGGCTTTTCTATTTCTTGATAGCACTTCATTGGCACGCGACAGATGAGAATTAGCTTCCATAGAGCAAATTGCACACAGCTCTGCCAAATATAGTGACACAATAACAGCAACACAATAGATAGATTCAGGAGTAAACAGCGGATTAAGGAAATTGAGTCAATTTAGTAATCAATCGATCAAAGCTAAAGACTATTCATAGGAATTCCGTCAAATCATAACACGGTTAGGGTATCTTTCCACGCCTTCAACGTCACTTTCCTCCCCATAACCATCAGCTCTGCCAGCCTTAGTAGTTGGCCTCACCTTGCTTCTGGATGTCGTGCTCGGCACCACGCTGTTGTGTCTTGCCCTTATCGTGCAACTCCTCGTAGTGTGCCTGGCCTGAAGTGTCTCCGGTGAGACCAGCGACGGTACTGCCGACAGTTCCCTGGACACGATCGCCCATTCCGTGGCCATAGTCGTGCAGCTGGCCCTTGGCTTCCTGCTGCTGGCCCTCGAGGTTCTGTTGACGGCCTGACGACTTCAGAGACTGTGATGCCAAACATGTTAGCTTAAGAAGGGTATCACGAAAGGGTTGTCGTTGTGAGGGAAGCATACCTCATTGCCGATAAGACCACCAAGTGACTCCTTAGCAGCACCAACGGTCTGGTTCCATGAACCCTCGGTCCGGTTGGGGTCATCCTTGGCGAAGGCACCTGTGCTGGAGATGGTGCCGCCGGGGAGCTTGACTGCTGCCTGTGAAGCGTCGTACTCAGTTTGAGCCTTGTCCTGACGAAGCTCGCCCTTGGCCTGATCGCCCGAGTTGCCCGTCAAGCTGCCCACGGCATTCTGGACGGCACCAGTGGCGGAGTCGATGTAGGACTGGAGAGTAGAGGGCTTGTTGTTGGAGTTGTCAGACATGATTGCGGTTGTTGTGTGAAGGACTGTAGTGTAGAAGTGTGTGTGTGTATAGTAGGCTGTTGAGATTGAAGATTGTAAGACTTTGTTTGTTGTGATTGTGGTGAGTGAAGAAGTATATGCAAGAAGGAAAGCCAAGACAGCCTGGCCCTTAAATAACAATCACCCGCCCGCAAATCATCCCATCAAGGGAAACCACAATTATGATTGCGATGACGATGCATGCAACGGCCATCCACGATCCACGCGTGGCAGCTTCCAACTGTTCCAAAATCCACAATTGATGTCATCAAAAGCCAGTTGCGTTTGATCCTGTGAAAGCTTCTGGGTAGGTGCTCCAAGCTGTGGCGCAGCTGACGTCATGGATTCATCATTGACTGCCACCAACTGAGACTCGCCATTTGGAAACTGGAAACTGGACCCTCAACAAAGAGAACTGGATAGAGGGGCAGATGCATGTGATAGATAGATAGATGCCTTAATAAAAGCCAAGTTGTCTTTGAGTGGCAATCGCGATACGGCTTTGATAGGACAAGATACCTGTACCCAGATCGTGCTGAGGATATTGTCGGGATAATGCCGGCGCTGCAGTTTGGCTGACGCGCTGCCACATTGGCTGCAGTGAATAGAGCCCCATTGCCAGTTTGGGATACATGACTGGCATCGGTTGGATGGCTGCTGTAAGAGGCAGGAGGGCAATCATATGCTGGCAGATGTGGCCACTACCAATAGAAGCATCTCAAAAGTCTCTACCAAGCACCAGTTAATGGCATCTCGTTGTGTCTACGAAGCGTATTATTCAAAAATCAAGCAGTAGAACCAATAGCATTCACGATAGGCGAAGCAATTCAGTCTGTTCATTTGGGGAATTGTCATTATTTCGTACTCGTAAATCAGGTATCTTATACTACAATATGCTATTACAGCGGCTTGGCTGGCGCAAACCCGGCGCCTTTTGGCCAAACCCCTTGGGTTCTGCTTATACCCAGAACCAGTTGATAACTTCCCAAACCCAAAACACCAGCTTGTGTCATGCTCAATCTTGGGACACTTTAGTGCTGGCTCCACTGGATCGTGTTCAGGTCGATGCCCTCTTGCACAAGCTCCCACAGTGGGCTGAGCTCACGCAGGAACGTGACACGCTCCCTAACCGCCTTCAGCACGTAGTCAATCTCTTCCTCCGTGGTAAAACGGCCAATGCCGAACCGGATGCTGCTGTGCGCATTCTCGTCGCTGTTTCCAAGCGCACGAAGCACGTAGCTAGGCTCAAGCGAGGCCGAAGTACATGCGCTACCCGAAGACAGCGCAATGTCCTTCAAGGCCATCAATAGGGATTCACCCTCGACATATGCAAATGAAACGTTGACGCAGCCGGGGTAGAAGGATTTCGAATCGCCATTCTGGTTGGTGTGCTCCATGGCAAGCAGCCCACCCAAGAGTCGATCTGATAGGAACTTAATCCTCTTGGAGTCGTACTGTACAGCGATGCTCGGTTAGCTATGCCGTAATAGGACACGCAAATGATATGAAACCAAGACAACGTGGAAAAGAGAAACCGCAAGAATCAGACAGGTTGCTACACTCAACACGAAGGGCCTTGTCACGGGCCATTCAGAAAGCCATGCATGTATAAGCTAATCATCACATGGATGCGGAAAGGGATTTGATGAGGTGGTTGTAAAGAAGGGAGAAACAATAAAGAACAAGAGGGGGAAAGGTGCTGACATACCTCCATCTCTTCCTTGGCAACGCGGCATGCCTCACCGAAGCCAACAACCAAGGGTGGTGCCAAGGTACCGCTTCGTAGGCCTCGCTCTTGTCCACCACCAGTGATGAGGGGGTCGAGCCGGACCCTCGGGCGTCTGCGGACATAGCATGCGCCAATGCCCTTGGGGCCGTAAATCTTATGTGATGAAATGGACATGAGGTCAATGTTCATGGCATTGACATCAATGGGGATCTTGCCGACAGCCTGTGCAGCGTCGGTGTGGAAGAAGATCTTCTTCTCACGGCAGAGCTTGCCAATCTGCTCGATCGGCTGGATGACTCCGATCTCGTTGTTCACAGTCATGATACTGACCAAGGCCGTCTCAGGCCGGATGGCAGCCTCAAGATCCTCCATCTTGATCAGGCCGTTGCTCTGGACAGGCAGATAGGTAACCTCGAACCCTTCATCCTGCAGATGTCTGCAGCTGTCCAGCACACACTTGTGCTCGGTCTGAGTGGTGATGATGTGCTTCTTCTTGCCAGATCGGCCGAAGAATCGCGCAACACCCTTGATGCTCATGTTGTTACTCTCCGTAGCGCCGCTGGTGAAGATAATCTCCTTGGGGTCTGCGCCAATCAGATTTGCCACATGCTCTCGGGCCTCCTCCACGGCCTTTTCACTCTCCCAGCCGTAAGCGTGCGTTCTTGAGTGGGGGTTGCCGAACTCGCCGACGTAAAACGGCAGCATGGCATCAAGGACACGGGGGTCAACAGGCGTGGTGGCCTGCATGTCGAGGTAGATGGGTCGCTGGCCCTCCTCCATGACGGCTGCGGTCTTGAGAACCTCTGCAATTGCGCATTAGCCTCTGTGGTGTTCATTCTTGCATTTCGCAACGAGAGGTGACCGAGGACGACATACCGGCCATCGGGCTGACCTTCATGTTAGGCGAGGTCATATTCACCGACTGAGGAATGTCTGCAAAGTCCTTCTTGTCCAGCTTGATGGCTGTTTCGACCCGCGCATTGTCTCTCTTGGACTCGGTCACATAGCCTCGCCTCCCGCTCCTCCTCGTAGCCGCCACCAGGGCAGCTCTGTGAATTCCTCGCAACGGCGCCGTAGCGACGGCCGTGCTGGAGCCAAGGCGGCTCGCCGACCTGAGCGCTGACGATGCAATACTAGCCATGGCTGTTGTGCGGATGGATAGTTTACATGGGGACAGAAACTTCCAGCCAGGTGAGAAGGTTGGAGTTGTTGTTGAGGAGAGGTAGTTTTTTTTTAAACCAACGTGAATTTTGTACTTGGGGTATTTGTCAATGGGGTCCGGCTCGGTACCTAGCTCGGTGATACGTGCGGGTAATTGGCTGAAAATGCGTGGAATATTCGGCTGAATCCCGGAAAGCCAGCTCTCCGGCGCATTCAATCGTTCTTTTGGACGTGAAAGGCCGAGATAGGCCGGTGTCTTTAGCGTGCGGCATAGCAGCAGTAGGTAGTGGCGGCCTTTGTGTGATTCAGCAGTAAAATGACCCCGTTGGCGGCAAAAAAGGTCTCGGATATCGAGGCCAACGACGTCATGTCACAAGCTGGTGCTCAGTTCAGCACCTTAATAAACCGTGTGCAGGCTTCCTTTTGCACTGAAATCACTGTAAATTTTGAATGTGTGTATTATCAGTAGGTTCTGTTGATTATATTGATGCATCCATATTATGCCCATCAGACCCGTCCTGTGAGAGGTGATAAGAAGCTGGGGTGCTGCATTTGATTCCATTAGCGCTAGGGCATCTGCTGCATGTCAGTCCGAGATGTCAAGGTGCAACAAGTAAACTGCCACTGCTAAGCTGACCTGGCCTGGGTACAGATACACAGCAATATGGTAAGCAGCCCCATCTTGGGGAAATCAAATTCAGTCGATAGCCGTCATCATCATATTACGGAGCATGGAGCATTTGCTGCCACTAGGTAGGTAAGTATAATAGCTTGGCTTCTGCCCCAGGCAAATTCCGGCGGCTTCCACAGCGCTGCGGAGGCCCGGAGTTGGACTATGCGCCACATTGGACGCTACAAGCTCGCACAGCCACTTAAAGTTCGTCACCAGTCCTAGAGGTAGGATTTAACCTCCAACCCAGCTGGCGAGGGCTTCTGTCCGTCTCCCGGATCGCCGGTGCTTTGCGCGCGCAACTTGCTCTCTATCACCACCAGAATTTCCGCTTCCTTTGCTGCTCCCGTACACAGTTTCGACCACGAGCGCGTCGCCATGAGTTTCAAAGGCTTCCAGAAGAGCCTTGTTAGGGTAAATGCTCTCTCTCTTTGATTCCCCTTGCCCCTCACCCAAAGCGGCAGCAACACAAAGCCGCCCCTCCGAACGTTCGAGAAGGAAAATAAGAGACGTCATGATCGAGACTGCGATGTACCCCAAACAGCTAACCCGTGATCGCACTCTAGGCGCCGCAACAATTCAAGTCAAAATTCAACATTGGCGAGCACACCAAAGACGCCGTATACATCGACGCCGAGCGACGCTTCCAGGAGCTGGAAAAGGAGACAAAGAAGCTCCACGATGAGTCCAAGAAATACTTCGAGGCCATCAATGGCATGCTCAACCACCAGATTGAATTTAGTAAAGCAATGACAGAGGTCTACAAGCCCATCTCTGGTCGCGTGTCCGACCCCGACTCCATAAAGCCTGAAGGGAACCCTGAGGGTATTGCTGCCTGTGAGGAATATGAGGCTGTTGTGCAAGAGCTACAGGAGACGCTGGCTCCAGAGCTAGAGACTATAGAGTCCAGAGTTATCCGGCCGGCCAACGAGCTGCTGGATGTGATCAAGGTCATCCGAAAAACTGCTGTGAAGCGAGACCACAAGCAGCTCGACTACGATCGGCATCGCACCACTCTCAAGAAGCTGCAAGATAAGAAGGATCGCTCGGCCAAGGACGAAAAGGCCATGTGGAAGGCTGAAGGCGACTGTGAGCAAGCAACGCAGGATTTTGAATACTACAACAATCTCTTGAAAGACGAGCTGCCCAAGCTCTTCCAGCTGGAGCAGGAGTTCATCAAGCCGCTCTTCCAGTCCTTCTACTACATGCAGCTCAACATTTTCTACACATTACACGAGCGGATGCAGCGGTGTGATATTGGATACTTTGATCTGACTAGGGACATTGAAGAGGCCTTCAACGAGAAACGAGGTGATATCCAAGAGCAAGCTGAAGCGCTCAGTATCGTACGGTTCAAGACTACTGGACAGCGGCGGCCGCCTCCCAAGGTCGGTGGTCGCCCGACGATCGAGGCAGCTAAGCCTCAGGGATTGCTCACCGCAGGTTCTGCAACACCAGAGAAGATGAGCCCCAAATTTGGTGGCTTCCCAGCAGAAGACGCAGGCGAAACCACTGCGCCGCCGCCATATAGCCCTTCTACGAAGCCCGGCCTTTCAACGCTTGTTGCCGGCAAGGCGAAGCCTCCGCCGCCACCCAAGCCCAAGCCGACCCGTCTGAGCGGCGCGCCGCCGCCTGAGACAGTCACGGCCCTGTACGATTTCGCGGCACAGGCAGAGGGCGACCTGAGCTTTCGAGCGGGTGATGTCATTGAGATTATACAAAGAACACAGAACGAGAATGAATGGTGGCAAGGCAAGGTGAACGGAAAGCAAGGACAGTTTCCAGGTATGCTTTGTTTTCTTTGCCACTGCTGCAATGCCCTATTTGCGCATTTGGATGCTAACCCGTACTGTAGGAAACTATGTGAAATTGAACTAGAGGCTATAAAGCCTGTGGAGAGTAGCAACAAAGAGGGAGATGGCAGCGTGTTCCATCACGTAAAGCGTGGATGCGAAGAGAAACTGGGAGAAGGGGAGAGAGACGGGGGAAGTAGAAGGAGTTTGACCCATGGTTTTTCTTTTTCTTTTTTTTGTTTCCTCAACTTTATTAGAGCATGCCAGGGAATCAACAGGTTAGCCTATATATGTGTATAGTGTACTTTGATAATCAGGATTAAAGCGGAAGACAAGGCGTCGAGTCCCAGCCATGACGACGTATCTCTATGTGACCAATTCTGTGAGATTATATTCAAATATGCCGTCTGGTATTGGTCAGTAATTCGCATGGTATTAACAGTGGATCACTCAATATGGGGCGACAATACGTGTTGAGGTTACACAAAGCCGTCGTTGTGTATCATTCGTCAGATGCACGCGCGGCAGAGCGCTTCCAATGGCACGTTGACAATTGTACAAAGGGAGAGAGACTGACTGTGTTCAGCTGAAGACTAGCATAGATGACGAGACAAGTTTACGATTGTAGCAGGAGATAATATTATAGTAGATACATAATAATATATAGGTAGCAAGTGGTAGGCCGCCTTGGCGCGTACAAATAAGTATATAAGAAACTCAGCCGCGTTTTGGGCAATGTGAGGCATTCTTGCATATAATATATGTAGGGTTTCCCATCCGACGGCTCTTAGATTCCACCCATTTGAGCCGCGAGAAGCCGCTGTTTAGTAGTCTGACATATGAAAAATCAACAAAGCGACTGGTCATGTCGTATATGTGATGGTGAGATGGCGATGAATTGGTTGCGTGTGATGTATCTGTAATTGTGCCCGACATCATTCGCTTAAGATGCAACTCAAGCCACGTTTGTCCTAGTATTGCGCAAGGTAAATTGGCATCCTAGGCAGAAAGGTCTTAACAAGCCCAAAAAGAGTTGGAGAGTGATATATTCCATATTGATCCTCTCGTCATAGCAATTAAGCCGTGCATTGCATAACTGTAAAGTGCAGCGCCCGCCCAGTCGGATTCAGCCTCGGTAAGGCATACATCTCGCCCGTGAAACGTAATGACGGGAGATAGACATACACCCAAGCAGAGAAAAAAGGGTGCTTGCGCGAATTAATTCTCAATTAATGCAACTAAAATTGTCGCAAGAGAACTTTTGCATGTGAACCCCCATTGTTGGGTTTCAAAGAGGCTCTTCGCGGTCGAGCTGGGCGAATTGGCGGTATGACCCCGAATGGCGGGTTTGTTTTGAGTACTTCATGAGTACATACCAACCCACGCCACTTCTACCTGCGTAATGATAGATCAATTCGGGCCATTGATCCCCAAATCATCCACAATGAATACTGGCCGCGTTTGTTGGTATAAAAACTCCCTCAAGACGGGGCTTCTTCCGGGCTGTGAATGCTGTGAATCCATTGAGAGATGCCTTCGGTGTCGAGGTGGAGGCCCGAGCTATTTGCCGGGATTCCCCTGTGAAGTCGAGACCTAGGATCTTCGAGGAATGAGGAGCCACCATTTCCTCATTCATCGTTGTGCTTGAGCCCAACGGGGCATTTCCGACTTTGCTCAGCTGGTAGCTCATTGAAACTGGCGGTGTCGAGCTTCCAACCCAATGGCACTGTTTTGGGAAATGCAGGCCGGGGTCAAAGGACACGAGAATGATGGAGCGTGGCTCATCAGGGTGATTCAAAGACTTGGGAGAATAGACCAAAACACTTTCATCCATTGCCCAGTCGACTTCGTCAAAGGGCGCTTCGGGATTAAGGAGCTCATCGCAATAGTGATCCAGAGACTGGTCAGGCAGTTTACTCCCCTGCTCTCCCTCGTCAGCCGGCCATAGTCTGACATATTGATCTTCCGAGTCATTGGCAACATCTGCCAGCTCGGTGGGTGATGATGGCATATGGCCTGATTCTGAGGTTGGGCACGGCTCTTGTGGTCGTCTTCTGACCCGCAACCGGAGTCGTTTGGCTGTCGGACTGGCTGCTGTTGTGGTGCTCACGATGTCGATAAAGGCTTGGCAGCTTGGGTTGTAAGAACGAACCAAAGTATTACGAAAGTCGAACGTCGAAGAGGAAAAGCCAGTATCACCACGGTGGACACTGTTCTCTGAGGCTGATTCATAATGAGCCATGCTGTCCAAGTTGTCGGGGCATTCATCTTCCGAATCTTCAGGACGGTCATCGGGATGACCATCTGTATGGCCGTCTGTACTCTCTGGTACAGAAGGCCAACATAACTGTTTTCGGTAGCAGGTGCGTCGGCTCCACGAAGAGAGCCACTCTTTTCTGGTTTCAAAGATAGAGACCTGGCCTGATTTCTCGTCTTGCGCAATCTGGAGGTGGTTCCAGCGGTCATCGATGGGTCCGTCCGTCGCACCTCGCCGCCATAGAGCTGATCGTGGTAAGATTTGAATCCCGCCAGGGTCACGTAAAGGGAGTCGAAAGGCGTAATAAAAGGAATCTATCGGATGTCCTGGTGAGTCCCACTCATACTCTTCGGCTTCGGCCAACTCTTGGCTAGAAACTCCGTACAGATGGTTGCCAAAAATCTCAAAGCAGATGGTCGACCCCATTTCGGCACCAGCCAAATCCCAGAGAATGGTTCTGCGAGGAAACCATTCCAAGTCTTTCAGAGAGAAGCCTTCGATCACCCATCGGCGCTGTCCCTGGGCTGGATAAGACTTTGTGCCGTAATATAGATATTGGCAGTTGTTGCGGACAAAAATATTGGCAGTCGAAAGCAGAGGTCGGGCATTGAGAAGCTTTCCTTCTTTAAGGCTGTATATAATCAACCAGCGGACAGTGGTAGGGGACTTTTTCTGCTCGTATAAGCATGAAACTATGCCATCTGCATGATACAGCGGCCGGAATTGGTAGGGTCGAGTTTCTTCAAAATGGGGTATATCACAGTCTTTTATGAGATTAGGGACATCGATGCTTACTTCTTCGACAGAAGGGCCCTCGAGAGTCAGGGTTCGCAGGCGGTGCTCGTAGACAGGTGAGAGTTGCTTCGTAGTGTAACACAAAGCGCCGTTTGTGTACGTAAAATGAAGAGCTTCGCTGGAGACTTCCAGCACGTGAAACGGTCTTGCCATCTGGAGAGCCTCGCGTCGCTTGATGAGCCTCCTCAGTGCTTTGGCATATTTTCCGGTTTCACGCTCTTGCCTGTAGCCTGACGAAAACTTGATGCTCTTTTGGCGGGTGCCATGTTAGCATTCCTGGTGAGTACGAATAGATTGAAAGTTGCGGTGACAAACGAACCTCCAGGACCTTTCGACATATGACAGGATCATACATAATGTGTTCGAATTGGGGGCTGCTGATGGCCAGATGGAATAAATCATCAGGTCCAAGATTAGCGGCGATCAGCCGAAGAATCTCAGAAGGCACCTGGGAGAGGCTCATGGCTGCGGGCTAGACAGGCGATGCAAATGGTAAATCAGTTCAGAGGGAGGGGGAACAGCAAGCTGGTGAGGGGCTGTTTCCTTCAGATGCCGGCAACAGTCGACCAAGGATTGCATATATGTATGTACGAGTAAAGAAAGATCCGCGGCGCCTCCTCTTCTTTTTTCGGATGCAACGTAAATTCCCGGACGCTGCACCACCTCAGCTAGATAGCGAGAGCATCAAATGAGCCTCAACACTTGCTAGGCTCGATTGGCAGCGATGCTTGGATATCAGGAAGCGCGTCCAGATACTATTGCGCGTCTTAAGTTGGGCACAGTCACAGCAATCCAGGCCGTGGCAGTCTCTCATTCGGACGGCCAAAGTGAAAGATGAGAAAGTTCGGTGAGGTCGGGCTGTTGCGAAATGACAAGGTACCAGATAAGTAGTTGGTCGCTGTAGTACGGAGTTCCATCTTTGAGACACAAGCCGCATTCGACTCTCCCTCACACAAAACACAGCTTGAGCCGCAAGGCAGGGATAGGACCTGGAGCTGTGCTACACCCCCCGTATTAGTAGTAGACTCGATCACCTTCCGGGGCTTACTGTACTGGGTATTCTGCTCACTGAATCATGGAAACTAGCCGGGAGCATGAGGAGCTAAAAAGGCTGAGCAGCGCCATGGCGGCTGTAATGGCGCTCGGACTCAACAAACAGCAGTCAAAAACATGATATCTCAGCTCGGCTAACACGAACGATGGATCGGCCTTGCTTGGCTTTGGACTTTGGCTTCTGCTAGTGAGTTAAAATGTTACACAACTCAAAGGTGCCTCCCTCGCGAGGATATAAGTTTCTTGTACGGAGTAACTAACACAAGTTAGTATGGACAGGGGGGGATGCCACACAATGCATCCAGAGCAGAGCCGCATTCTTAGCTGCCTCCAGTCCCCTCCACCATCTGCAAAGGAGATTTATTTTTTTCCACATACAACCAAGTGGCATTACCTATTTATGCACTGGCCAATAAGGGCCACATACTGAGTGCTACTGATACGACTTACTTCAAGAAGTGTGGGTGAATTTTATGCCTCGATATGATATGTCGAGTGCGTATCACTGATCACTCAAAGTCCGTCTTGTAGCACTAGTTGCTGCACAAGTTGTTGCCTACAAAGGGCTTTAATCAGAGCTTGCATATTTTCGGGTATATTCCATCCTACGCTTGACCATTTCTTCGATGGTAGGTTTGAATATTTCTCATATTATACAATTAAAGAAAAAGAATCTGCATTTCACGCCATGATGCGATTCAAACGGCACGGCTTTTGTCCTCCTTGCAGTAGTCCAGTATTAGATGCAACGCGGATGGAGCATCAGGTACGGACGGGAAGTACTAAGGCGCAGTAGCTGCTCGGTCACGTGCAGTCTGCAGCAGCTCTGGCTCTTTACGCGACTGCACTTTTTCCTTCGCGCGTCAAGGCGCCGTGATCCATTGCAATAGCTCCCTCTCCCGCCAAATGTTCATCCATTAACCACAATGGCGGAGATCAAGATCGACAGCAAGCTCTTCCAGGAGCGCCTCTCGCACTTCGTCACTGCCTGGAAGAATGACCTCCGTGCCAAGGATGGACTCTTTGGCGGCGTCTCGTCCTTCGTCATCATGATGGGCAAGGTCGAGGAGGTTCCCGAATTCCACAAGAACAACGCCGTTCACGTAAGAGCCAGCCTGCGCCCCGATACCGCTGCAATCCGACCGTCAAAGCTAATGTCCTGTTTCAGTTTTGGCTTTTGGGCTACGAGTTTCCGACGACCCTGATGCTCTTCACCGTCGACACCCTCTACATTCTCACTACGGCAAAGAAGGGTACGTGGATCGTGAATCGCCTGCCACCCAGGCCGCGCTACTGCGAAGCCCTGCCGAATGCTAACACCCGACATAGCAAAACATCTTGAACAGCTCAAGGGCGGTCGTTTCCCCATCGAGGTGCTTGTTCGAGGCAAGGATGCAGCCGAAAACGAGAAACTGTTTGTCACTATTGCAGACAAGATCAAAGAAGCGGGGGTAAGGCCACCTTCAATGCCAATTCGTTTACACCTACAGGCTTAAAACCTAACGCATCTTGACAACAGAAAAAAGTCGGCGTCATCTCCAAGGACACGTCCAAGGGCCCCTTCGTCGATGAATGGAAGAAGGTGTTTGCCGAACACTGCAAAGATGTCGAGGAGGTTGACATTTCTACTGCTTTGTCCACTCATGCCTTCTCCATCAAAGACGAAAGCGAACTACGAGCGATGCGAACGGCTTCCAAGGCTTGCGTGGCCCTCATGACGCCCTACTTCCTCGACGAAATGTCCAACATTCTCGATGCCGAGAAGAAAGTCAAGCACTCCGTTCTAGCCGACAAGGTCGATAAGAAGCTCGACGATAACAATTTCTGGAAGACTGTTGAGCTCCCCAGCAAAGGCAAGCTGCCTTCGGACCTCGACCCCGCGCAGCTGGATTGGATCCTGCCCCCCTCCATTCAGAGTGGTGGTAAATACGATCTGCGATTTTCTACCGACCCAAATGACGACAACCTACATGCTGGCATCATCATTGCCGCCCTGGGTTTGCGTTACAAGTCATACTGCTCAACGATTGCGCGAACGTACCTCGTAGATCCCAATAAGTCTCAGGAGAGCAACTACAAGCTCCTTTCGATGGTGCACAACACAATCATCAAGGAGATCCGCGATGGCATGACTGCGAAGGATGTCTACGCCAAGGCGTTGGGTGTCATCAAGAGCAAGAAGCCAGAAATGGAGAAGCACTTCTTGAAGAATGTCGGTTGGGGTGTTGGCCTTGAGAACAGAGACCCTACTCTTGTACTAAGTGCCAAGAACCAGCGAGTTCTCAAAGACGGAATGACTTTGATCATCAATACTGGATTCCAGGATATTGAGAACCCACAGCCTCAAGACAAGAACAGCAAGATTTACTCACTAGTTCTGACTGATACCATTAGAGTGACAGCTGCTGAGCCGGTCGTTTTCACTGCTGAGGCGCCGACAAGCGCCGACGCCAACTCATTCTTCTTCAAGGATGATGAGGAGGCACAGCCCACTCCCAAGAAGGAGAAGAAGGATTCCAGAGTAGGCGCGGTCGCCACTAAGAACATTACCAGCACTCGCCTTCGCTCCGAGCGGACTACACAAACGGACGATGATGCAGACAAGAAGCGTCGAGAGCATCAGAAGGAACTGGCTGCCAAGAAGCAGAAGGAGGGCTTAGCCAGATTCTCCGAGTCAACCAGTGGGCAAAATGGCGGAGAGGTCAAGAAATTCAAGCGTTTCGAGTCATACAAGCGGGACAATCAGTTCCCCTTGAAGATCAAGAACCTTGAGATTATCGTTGACTCAAAGAACAGTACTGTCGTTCTCCCCATCATGGGACGGCCTGTCCCGTTCCATATCAACACCATCAAGAATGCCAGTAAGAGCGACGAGGGAGAATTCGCCTTCTTGCGGATAAACTTCCTGTCGCCCGGCCAGGGTGTCGGTAGAAAGGATGACCAGCCCTTTGAGGACGCATCCGCCCACTTTGTTCGCAGCTTGACATTCCGATCGCTCGATGGAGACAGATATAGTGAGATAGCTACTCAGATCTCGAACCTGAAGCGCGACGTCGTCAAGAAGGAGCAAGAGAAGAAGGATATGGAAGATGTGGTGGAGCAAGACAAGCTGGCGGAAATCAGAAGTAAGTCCAATTACCCACTACTGAAAGTGCCAATACCTGAATACTGGATGCTAACTTATTCCGCCAAGACCGACGCCCGGCTGTGTTGGACAACGTGTATATCCGACCAGCCATGGAGGGCAAGAGAGTGCCTGGAAAGGTCGAGATACACCAGAATGGTATCCGTTACCAGTCTCCTCTCAATGCTCAGCATCGCGTGGATATCCTCTTTTCAAACGTCAAGCACCTCTTCTTCCAGCCTTGCCAGCACGAGTTGATTGTCATCATCCACATCCATCTGAAGGACCCCATCATTGTGGGTAACAAGAAGAAGACGAAGGATGTACAGTTCTACCGTGAAGCAACCGACATCCAGTTTGATGAGACTGGTAACAGAAAGCGAAAGTACCGCTATGGAGACGAGGACGAATTCGAGGCTGAACAAGAGGAGCGCCGTCGCCGCGCCGAATTGGACAGGCTATTCCAAGGCTTTGCTCAGAAGATTGCCGAAGCCGGTCGCAATGAGAACATCGAGGTTGATATGCCCATCCGGGACCTCGGATTCAACGGCGTGCCTTTCCGCAGCAACGTCTTCATTCAGCCAACTACCGACTGCCTCATCCAGGTTGTTGAGCCCCCATTCATGGTCATCACCATTGAAGACATTGAAGTCGCCCATCTAGAGCGTGTCCAGTTCGGTTTGAAGAACTTTGACATGGTATTCGTCTTCAAGGACTTTACACGTGCTCCATATCACATCAATACCATTCCCGTCGAATTCCTCGACCAGGTCAAGGATTTCTTGGATTCTTCAGACATTGCCTTTACCGAGGGTCCTCTTAACCTCAACTGGCCGACCATTATGAAGACAGTTAACCAAGATACCCACCAGTTCTTCGTCGATGGTGGTTGGTCGTTCCTGCAGGCCGACTCGGACGATTCCGGTGCCGAAGACGAGTCTGAGGAAGAATCGGCCTTTGAGATGGACGACGAGGAGATGGATGAAGTGTCTGAGTCCAGCGAGGAAGATTCCGACTTTGGTAGCAACGCCAGCGACGATGACGATGATGAAGAGGCCGACATCGATAGTGAGGATGAGGGCGAAGATTGGGATGAGATGGAGAAGAAGGCCAGGAAGCGCGACCGTGAGGGTGGCCTGAATGATGACGAAGGCCGTGGAAAGAAGTCACGCAAGCGATAATTGGACAAGCAAGGGATACGAATTCAGACGAAGTGGCTCGAAGCCGAACCATTAAATAGGGGAGTGAATGGGCTTTTTTTTTTAAGTTTATTTCTTGGGCAGTGTGTTTTAAATACTGGAACTTGTATTAAGAAAAAATTAAGTGCTGATGCGGCTGCGTAATGGCCTCTTGGCTTCTGTTATGATGAATTTTTTTCCTTTCCAAGCATGGCTTCTGAAGGCTCGGTATAGGTTGAGTGGTCTGAATAATATTACGGAGTATATCATTTTTGCAAGTGAAGATAGCCGCTTTACATCACTGATCTTTGTTGTGAAAACCCATGATGTAGTTCACTTAAGAAGAGGGATTTGGAGTTTGGATATGCTGAGTTGGCAACAAGAGGTGCTACATTTTTCTATCAATAGCCCCCTTCCCAGCATTTGAGACAAGGACGGAACTAGAGGGAAACAAGTAAAAAATGTATAAAACATAACAAAATAGGCGGTTCAAAACTCCTCAACTCCAACAGGCAAAAACCTCCCCCTTTGTCGAATTCATCGAGAGGGTAGGAAAAACCCCTTTCACCTTAGTTTTCCCCCATTTCTTGCTCCCTCTCGCAACTCGTGTCCTTTGATCTTTCGTGGTCTTTTCATCCTTCTTCTTCTTCTTTCTCATCCAGCATTGACGACCTCCAATGTTTCAACTTTGAGTAAAAAAATGAATGTGGATGGTAAGAATAAGACAACGTTCAATCAGTCCTGAACAACCCCCCAACAAAAACAGAGAACAAAAAAAGAAAACAGTGTTAAACAAAAACCGGCCAGCGCACGGGGAACAAACAAGGCATTACATCGATATAAGCGCATAAAAAAAACCGGGAAGAGGTAGGCGTAGAGCAACCTCTTTTATCTCATCTACCACGCCACATTGTCCCCCGCTGCTTTTGATTTCATTTTTTCTTCATTTTGTGGATTCTACGCAAGCCGGTGGCTCAAGCGGTCATAGAATTTGCTATGAAACCTCGGGTTCATGGGCGCCAGGAAGATGTGAGAGCTGGAGCTGCCACCAGAGGGCATCGGGGCCATGCGGAGCGCGGCGCGGGAGCTGTCGCGAGTTGCCTAAGCATCAGGACGGATCTCGCGGCCCGAGGCCACGGCGGTATTGCCGCCGAGTTTGGATGTAGGGACGTTGTTCCACGACAGGTAAGTGTGGTCACCGAGTTTCCTGGTGGTTGATGTGTTAGAAACGGAATGGAAATGGAGAGAAGACTAGAATAAGAACGAACCTTGGCTTGATGAGATGAGAAGCGAGGAAGATGACGCCGAGAACAATGCACAGGCCAGCAACAACAATGTAGGCGATGCCAAGGAAGTTGTTGCGACCACCCACAACGGTGCGGGTGGTGATGATGATGGACTTTTTGCCTCTGTATTCGGTTGTAGGGAAGACTGTTATTTCATAGTTAGCACACCAAGTTTGCGCCGTAGTCCAGCATGTTGTCACATACAATCGTCGATAATGATTTGGTAGCGTCCCTCAGCCATCGCCTGGGTGTCGTTGCGCTGGTAGAGCTTGCTAAAGGTCGGCAGACCGGCAGTACGCATCCAGACCTGGAACGCCTGCCACTCCTTGAGGTTGGGGGGAGGGTTGGTTTTAGTATAACCGTCCGGATAACGCAGACGCCAGTTGGGTGGCGGAATGATTTCGCTCAGCGACTGCGTGGTTGGGTTGTACAAATCTCTGTCACTGCTCCAGGCAATGTTGGTGTTGTTGGCCATGAGGTATGTCTGCGTCTCGTTGCCACGGCCTCCGGGAGGGTTCAACAGCTCGGGGCTGGTGTAGGAGTCGTTGAACATGGAGTTGGCAATGAGTCCGCACGGATAGTACGGCTTCTTGACGCCGTCGATGGTCTCACCATACAGAGGGGTGCATTTCGAGCCGTGGATATCGCCATAGGACCTGTTGTCTCCCTTGAGCTGGTTGACGTCGAACGAATCGGCGTATCGACGATGGTTCTGGTAAAAGTTGGTGAGCTGGTAGTAGAACAGAACCGGGGGTCCCATGCTCTCGGGAATGTTGAATCTCAAATAGCATCGCTGTCCGGACACCTTGACGCCCGGGTTAACTGGGATATCGACGTCGGATTGGACGGCCCATTGCGCATCAATCGACGTGTTGGAGGTTTTGAACTGAGTCTCTATGTCGCTGCTAGGCATGGAGCCAAAGCCCTTGCCGTTGTTGTAGGCCGGAGCATCGGCTGTGCAGTGGGTGTAATCCAGGCGAATCTCTTGCACCTAAACCATGGGCAAATCCGTCAGCGCCAGGATACAAGCAAAACATACAAGAGGACAGATATCAAAGCCAGAATCTCCTAGCATACCTGAGTGTTGGCATATAGCAGCAAACCACCGATTGGAGCGAATATGACGCCGATGGCGAAGAAGAGAGGCAGAACTGTCTTTGGAGTAAGAATTGGCCTGCGAGGCTGTCAGCATCCTGCAGACTCGGGCTTTTGCGCCGTTGAATCGTCCGGAAAACCTACTGCCAGGCTTTGAGTCGCTGTTGTCGAAAGGCCGTGTCTATGATAACCTCATCGTCAGCAATCCGGCACCTCCCAGCAGCGCATCCAGAGGCATCGTCGAGCACTCACTCGCAGGGCGACGGCTCTTCTTCTTGTCCGGCTTGTTCGGGGCTGTGTCAAGAGAGTCGAGGGAGTCGGTATGACCAACCCGCGGTGAGTCGGACATGTCGGCGAGTTGGACCGGAACAACAATGCGCGGATATCGAGAAGAGGCTGGCGATTACTTGGTGATGATTGACGGAGTTTGCGTTCCAAGGGGTTTGTTTGAATGTCTTCGACACGGGGATGTTCAGAGTGCTCACAGCTGTGGCTGCGAATTACGAGTTCGCCAAGGCTGTGTGTGGCGGTGCACTTCGTCAGCAGGATCCGGACTTTCCATGTCCGTGATTTATTAATAACACTTGGCGGACTCTAGGGTAGGCGGGCGTTGCGCAACGGAGAATCATCGTGTGTAAGGCTGGCATATTCCATTTCTTTTTTTTCTTTCTTTTTTTTTTTCTCTCCCTCTTCGACTTTTCTATGCACGTGTTCTGTGTGTCCTTGCGAGATGACGCGTATCGGCTAACAATTACCCCCGTAAGCTATAGCCAGGTGTGGTTATGTGATTGGTGTTTTTCATTTAAGATGATATGGAGTCCAAGCGCTGCATATAATCACAGCATATTAAAGGTACGGAGTATACAATACCGGTACCCGCTTCAAAACAGTATTGAGACTTACTGCCTCTCCATTCTCCATACTCGTAAGGCCTCCAATGACAATCATTTCGTCGGAACCGACTTGTTATTTCGATGGCTGAACTTATTGCTCCAACCGCGGGAAGAAAGGAGGTCAGAGAGGAGTCTGGCCTGAGGGAGCGCCTACCAGTCTATTTCGCTTCTACAACGTCTCCGTGGAAGCCAATCTAGCGCATGACTTATCCATAGCTTCCACAGGCGTGTCTCTAATCTTCTAGAATTTGGAGCGCCAAGAAATGGTCTATGGATGGATCGAACTAATATCGGGAACTGTCCATCACTGTCCATCACTGCCTAGCCAGCTGAAGGACAAATTCTGATCAACAGCTGGTGAAGATGACCATGTTTCTCTTATTCATGGATATGATTTGCCAAGCTCTGGGCCGGCCAGCACATGGACAACCCGAACTAGCATCGGCTATGGCGATGAGTGATTTTCAATGACATCTCTGTCAGTGGAACACCACATGGGGCTCTTTGTCAAGGTGCGGAGCCGATCAACCGATGCAAGCTGAAGCCGTCTTCCACGAGAGGGTGATCAGCCGTCATCGTAACCGGGTATCGTTGGACCGGCCCATCGCATATGCCTTAGCTTCCTCTGTTCCTCTCCCAACCCTGTCCTTCTCACTCATGATATGTTCCCATGAATAAAGAACCATCGTATGCGTATGCATAGTAACGATGAGTTTCGTCACCGCCAGATGCTAGCGGCAACTCGCTCATGTAGCAAGGCGGAGGAGACCTGGGGCTTCATGCAGTCCAAGTTACCGCTCGTATACCGGAGGGCGGAGGGAACGGCCCAGCCACCACCAATGCACCTCTGTACAGTACTTGCTCGTAGATGTATCAGAACATCGTCTGCCCTTTCGTCTTGTAGTTGTCTGCACAGCTTGGAGCTAGCGACTCCTGGCGTCATGGTTGGCTGGCTACGGCTGCGAGACATGCTTATGCGGCCCGATTGAGTAAAGCTGGGGACGAAGCCGAAGAGCCAGACTGGTCATCGATATGCACATGCACATCGCACATCGTTCAGATGTACAGGGGTTTTCAGGTCATGGAAGAAAAACTGTTGCAATGGGTAAATATCAAACGTACAGCACTCCGGTGCACGAGTGAATCCTGAGTAAGCCGTGCAAAGCATGGTCAGACAATCTCGGATGGTCAAGGGGGGTTCAGCCGGCCTCATCTCTCAGCTTCCCAATGCTCTTGCTGTACATAACACTAGTGCTATTCGCAGCACAAAGCAATGCTTGTATTATACCCCATGATGCAGACGAGACAAGACATGGTCCCAATCTGTTGGGAAACCGGCGAGTGCGCACTCCGGGCAGGCGGTTCATGCCCTTTGCTGGGTGAAAATGCGTAGTATTGGTACGAGTATGCCGGTCCGGCACACATATCCGAAGTGGCCAAATTCTTCGACGGCTGAAGGAAGGCTGACGACAACGCCGAGCCCCGGAGAGGCGAATGCTGTGCTTTTTCTCTTAAAGGTTCCTCATGGCCGTCATATTTCCTCTGTGGGTGTTTTGTCATGATGGCATGTTGTCGGACTTACGACGTCTCGGATTCCAACCGCCAACCTGTCGAACTGTGCCGCCTTGATCCAGACGGGCTATGCACCTCGCCCTCCACTGAGTGGCCCAGGCCGCCCGGTCTCGAAACTCCGCGCGTGTCTGGTTCGTCTCGACCCCAGAACGGCGGTTGATAGGCTGAATGTCCGGCCGTGGCAGCAGCCGCTCCTCCGCATCAACCTGACGCACCGAACTTTGAAGGGGCGATTCCAATTCGTTGCCAGCTTGCGTGGCGCCGTCTGAACAGCCATGCCGTCCTTTCCATGATTAGCTCCTGTTGTTCCTTTGCGGAACGCGTATGGTAGCTCAGGACTGAGCGTTGCCGCCTCTAAAGATTAGCCACTAGTTTGAGAATCGAGGTCCGGCTGTTGTTGAAGATGCCAAGACTCACGGCCAAGAGCCGAGTGGTGCATCAGTAGAACTTGGACCAATGATTCGCTGTGTGTTGTCTGTTGCCTTTGCCGCGCTGCTCGTCATCATGTCAATGTCCTGCCCACAGAGTGATTTAGAGTTTGCCACGAGAGAGCCGCCGTGGCTGGGAGAATAAGATCAAATCTACCTTGATGAGCGCTTGTACTCGTACTCTGTACAGCAACCTACTTATATAGTGCATTATCAACGGGACGGTTCAGGTTGTTGGCAGTGCGTCTCGTCAAGTGATGTGGATAGTCTCCCTACCTCTACTCCATAGATTTCCAGCTAGACAAGATACTTGACCGCCTACTAACCGAAAGGCCATGTGTGAGACATTCATGTCTTGGAAGTACAAATCGAGGAAGGCGCGATGAGCACTGCGCAGTACATGCCAAGTATGGAGAACGGAGCACCTGCCGTCGAAATACATACGAGTACGAGTACTCTGTACTCTGTACAAACGGACGTCATATTCTCACCACGCTGATTAGTATTACGTGAAACAAGATTCCCTCCATCTCTTCGTTTCTTCACTCCAACTGCTGTGATGAACTGCTTTACTGTCTCAGAGATCCAGTCTTTGGCTAGACAGGTGGGCCACTAACAGACGACAGATTGGTAACTATCAGATACTAACAGCAAACAAATTGCAAAAGGCTCAGAACGTGGTTTGCACTATTGCCATCACGCGATTTGCTTGGCTCAGCTCTTTGGCTGCCGCTAACACAAGAGCCAGAACTTGTGCTTCTCGCCTAGAAGAGTCCCCAGCTTTTCTTCGTCTTGGCTTGGAGACAGTAACTCACCCCCATCTCCACTCGAGGGCGAGGCGCAGCAAAATCGACATGACTGACGGTCAAAGTGCCTCCAGGCCAAGCAGAGCCCCATCTGACGGCCCCCCTGTTTGCCGCCTCTACTCGGATTCGGCAGGCCTGGATTGGACAGGACAGGACAGGACAGGACAAGTCGCCGGGTGTCTGACACCTGCGCTCAGCAGGGCCAGCGACTGTGCTGTGTCTTGCGAGAACGAGCGCTGCTGGAATCAGGTTGCCAGGTAGTCAGTCATCAGGCTGCAGCCTATGACCTGCCTAGAAGGCTATAACGCAGTAGAGAGAGGCTCTCCCATCGGCTGGGTGAAAGATGCTCGACGCTCGACAAGGCGAATCCATTGATGGACGGCCTCCCCCCACAACAGGAGTTCGCTGAATTTCCAAATCTCCGTGCTTCCAATGATGTGTACTAGCTTCTGCAGCCTGAAGGCAGCTTGAGGATTTCCGAGCTATCGGCGAGGGCGACGGCAGCCGGGGATCGCTGTTAGTAGCGTCTCGGGCCCTCTGAGCCGTGGTGCCATCAGCTGCCTCAACAACAAAGTGCTCACTAGCAATTCATCCGATTCATCGCCTGCATGCATGCAGTGCCTAGGCCTAGGTGCTAGACAGACAGACTACATATACAGGCTAACGGGCCCTGCAAAGTATCTGTACGAGTGCTCGTGCCTGTCCCCAACTTGGCGCTACTCACTCACTGATTTGCTCTTATAACCTGAGTGTAGCCGCCCTCATCTCGCTGAATTTCCCACACCCTAGACCCGGGCGGTTCGGCTCCTTGAAGCATTGTCTAAGCAATCCTTGTTCAAATGAAGGGATTCATTCGACTTTCCCGAAGCATTCAAAGCCTTCTTTGACGATTAGATCTCACCGAGGCCCTTAAGAGGAACCTGGCCCCCGCCGCATTTCCCATTACGCATACAAAGTAGCATACATTTGCTTTCAAGGTTGGCTTTACACCTACGTCCACGCATCTGCCAGCGGGGCGCTCACTCACCAGCCACCAAACTTTGCTTGCTCCCTCTTACAAGGCCACGCGCCTTGCTGTCATTCGGCTATCTAGCTTGCCGTCAGGCCCATCCAGCTTATTCTTCTTTATTCCTTTTCTGTCTTCTATTTTTGTTTGATCCTGTGTCTTCACCGGGATTTCTTTATTATTCTCAACTGTCTCTCGGATAGTCAAACCATCTGGCATCTCATCATGGCCTCTTCTAAGTCGACATCTCGGGCCGCCCGCCATGCAGATCGGGATACAGGCTTTCCAGAACCCTTTGATCAATGTGAGTAGACATATCCATTCCTATGTTGTGAAGGGAGTTTTCTTTTCTTTTTCATCTTTGGTCATCACTTTACTAACATGTTTTCTCTTCAAAGTCAGCAATACTACTCTCCCTCACCCTGACGCCGACCTCTCGCCAAATGCCTGCATCTCACACGATGACCTGGCTGGCGACCATGCTCTCAAGAGAAAGCGACTCTCGTTCTTACACCGACACAAGACTAGGCGAACCCTGATGCATGGAATTATCGGCCCGCAAACCGAACTCGTCAGCAGTGTCTTGTCACTGTCGTTATCCCGCTCTAGCAGCAGCCTCCAAGTCGGAGAGGTAGCCCCTAAGTTGACGAGTCCTTCGATAGCCAGCTTTCAGTCCAAAAGCGGCAGCGAAAGTGCAGAGTCGACCAAGAAGGAGGACGAGACACCGCCATCTTCACCTGACAGCATAGGCCACAGTCCCAAGAAACACCACCGGTTCAGCAAGTGGCGACGCTCCCGAGGCGAAGAACGGGATTGAGCAACGGGCTACATACGAGTACATACCGCCTTTTGACAAACATGCCCGTCTGGGCGACATGCATCATACATTTTCTTGAATCTTTTGGACACTGGAAGAAAAAAAGGGGAAGAAAAAAGACGGAACGAATTTACGACTCTCTTTTGTGACTTGACTTACAGCATATCTCTCACCTTCTTAATCTATAAGCGACGGCGTTTTGGGGCGGACTTGAAATTGGGAACCGGACAACAGACGGACGACACGGCCTTTGTCTCGTAATCACGGGTATTACTATTGGCTTTTCCTTCAAGAGAAGGGATCTGTCTTTAACTTGGCAACAAGTACATTGCTTGGGAATCTGTTTTGTGAAATAACGACACGGCACATAAAGAACTGCAGTAGCTGATGTGTAATAAAAGAGTGACAGTGTTGACATTGCCACGACTAGCACGCTTTCATTATCATTGTTGTCATATGTATCTCTCCATACTGACTCTGACTCTGAAACTGAAACGACTGTGGCTGTGAAGCCGCGTTGTCCTCCTATGCCCCCTTTAGCTTCCTCGGTAAGTCGTATAGCTGTACGGACTCAACAGCAGCGGCACATGGTAATGCTGGCCCTCTTCAACGCGAAACACAATGGTGGCCTCCGGGAAGAATGTGTTTTCCTCGCCAAAGTAGCCGGCAGTGTCGAAGCGCAGCGTCCACCGAGAAGGCCCCTTGACGGCGCCCAGGACGTCCTCGAGGGTGTAGACGGGCACCTCGCCGGCAGAGGACTCTGAGCTGTAGGGCAGCCAGACGGTGATGCGGCCGTCGTCGTTGGTGAGGGACTCGAAGGTGTTGACGAGAGTGTGGGCGTTGGGTGAGCTGGGGACGGGGCCTTCGAGGCGGACGCGGATGCCCTTTGCGGGGCGGCCGGCGGTGGTGTCGAGGACGTGGCAGGTGATGCGGTCTTTGTCGGCCATGATGGTCTTTCTTTGGGGGGATTTGATTTGATTTAATATGGTAGGTTTACTTTTTAAGAGGGAAGTGTTCTCTCTTGCAGATGCAGGTGCTGTTGTGGTGAGAAGTTGGATGAGACGATGGGCTGCAAGATGGTGGGGTAAAGCTGAATGAGATGCGGCCTCAGGAAGTGAATGTGAGATGCACAAGAAGCAGAGCCACGAAGAGGAGCTTCAAAAGAGGCGGATCTCTTTGCTTCTTTTATAAGGCACCAGGCTCAGTGTGAGACGAACAAAGGGCTGTGATGTGACGGGACAACAGCAAGGCCAAGCAAGGCTGGGAGTTGCGTGTTTCTATTCTTGAAGCTGCATGTTGATGTTAGTCGACGTTGGAGTCCCGTCTACTGCGCCTAGTGTAGGACTTGGACTTGAACTCGGCCGGGCACCCAATCAGTGGACGGCTCAGCCACGCTGTGCGCCGGGTGCCGTTAGTGGAGGTGGCCGCCTGGAGAGCGCTGCTGTTTAGCAGACGGCTGTCCTGTAGGTCTCTGTAGGCCTAGGTTGTGATGGATCTAGAGATTGTGATGGACGGCTGTGATTTGCTTGCATCCGCGTCTATTGATTTCAAGTTCACAGCCCAGGCTAAACAAGGCCAAGCCACGGACAACGATGGAGATATGATATGATTTGATGATATGATACGATACAAGATGCAACGCAAGGCGACATGACTGAATCAGCCTGTCCTGTCCATGGGTTGCGGCATGTCGTCACAGCTGCCACACTCCTTTTCCATCTCCTTTTTAGCATCTAAAGTAAAACAGAGAGCAAAAAGAGGAACGATGGAAATGTATGACCGCATCGCTTCTCCAACCGGGGGGCCAAAATACGCCGGTGGCTGCTCTCACCACATGGCCGCCACCTTTATTTTCCTCCGCGAATTGCCCCTCCATGGGAATCTTCCGCCTTCGAAGCGCCACCTTTTAATCCCCCCCTTCTTGTCCCGTAGCCTCGTTTGACCGCGTCACTGCCAGCCTCGCCCTCTGCTGCTTTTTTCTCTTCTCTCTTCTTCTTCTACTGCTTCTGGCCTCCTCTCCTTGGTGTTTTTCCCATTTTCTATTTTTCAATATTCCCGTTCTTCCCCCCTCCGTCTCTTCTCTCCTCCCAACCAACCATGGCCGCAGTCATCGACGAAGACGCCCTCGAGCCGTCCCTCCAAACCCTCCTCGACCAGCGCTCCCTCCGCTGGATCTTTGTCGGCGGCAAGGGAGGCGTCGGCAAGACCACGACCTCGTGCTCCCTGGCCATCCAGCTGGCCAAAGTCCGCCGCTCCGTTCTGCTCATCAGCACCGACCCCGCGCACAACCTGTCCGATGCCTTCAACCAAAAGTTCGGCAAGGAGGCCCGCCTTATTAATGGCTTCGATAACCTGAGCGCCATGGAGATTGACCCCAATGGCAGCATGCAGGACCTGCTGGCCGGCCAGGGCGAGAGCGCCGAGGACCTCAACGCCATGAGCGGCGGGATTGGGGGCATGATGCAGGATCTTGCCTTTGCTGTACGTTTTTCTTCTTGGTCTTCCTTGGCAGGATGCAGTATATATATGGATCTAAAAAAACTAACCTCTTCGCCGTATATAGATCCCCGGCATCGACGAAGCCATGTCCTTTGCCGAAGTCCTCAAGCAGGTCAAGTCCCTCTCCTACGAAACCATCATCTTCGACACCGCCCCCACCGGCCACACCCTCCGCTTCCTCCAGTTCCCCTCGGTCCTCGAAAAGGCCCTCGCAAAGGTCTCCCAGCTCTCCTCCCAGTACGGCCCGCTGCTCAACGGCTTCCTCGGCTCCAACGGCGCCCTGCCCAACGGCCAGAACCTCAACGAGATGATGGAGAAGCTCGAGTCCCTGCGCGGCACAATCTCAGAGGTCAACACCCAGTTCAAGGACGCCGAGCTCACCACTTTCGTGTGCGTCTGCATCGCGGAGTTCCTTAGCTTGTACGAGACGGAGCGCATGATTCAGGAGCTGGCGAATTACGGCATTGATACGCACAGTATTGTTGTTAACCAGCTGTTGTTCCCCAAGAAGGAGAACGATTGTGAGCAGTGCAACGCTCGTAGGAAGATGCAGCTCAAGTACCTCGATCAGTATGAGGAGCTCTATTCTGAGGACTTCAATGTTGTTAAGATGCCTCTGCTGGTGGAGGAGGTGCGAGGAAAGGAGAAGCTGGAGAAGTTTAGCGAGATGTTGGTCAAGCCGTATGTTCCGCCGCAGTAAGGGCGAGAGGGGGGCTGCGAGGAGAGAAACAATAGAATATTTTTGTAAAAGAAAAAAATTATGAAAAGAGAACCCTATTTCATGTACGAGTAAATACTTAATGGGCCATGTATGCGTCTAGATTCCCCCCTTAAGATATATATGTACACATACACTTTAGGGTGCTTTCAACTACTTTAGGATAGTAGAAGCAGTTGATCTCATAATTATACGTATAATTTATTAATTAATAAACAAACATTTGAATCCTTGTTTTAATATTGGGCCTCCTCCTCAACACTTCACCGAATTCATTCACAATCACTAGATTCAAAACACTAAAGTTGATGGAATTTGTTTCTTGTATTTCAAGCTCCCTTTTCTCGAAGCTGTTGCCTCCTATCCTACCAAAAGTCCTAAAATGCGCTTTCATCAATACCCTCCTCAGCTCATCTCGTTTGCATAATAAACCTCCCAGCTATTCTCGCTCGAAAAAAAAGACACCATACATGCTGCACACCTTACTTAGGAGTGCGAGGGGCACAAAAAAAAAGAGGATGTTGAGCCGTTTCTCCCCTTTTTGGCCATCAAGGGCAGTCATCTTAAGAAACGAAAAGGAAAAAGAAAAACATGTGTAGACTCAAACGGCACAAGCCGAAAAGTAAAAACAAAACGCCTAATCCAAGCCAAGCTGAGCTCTGATATGAGAGAGTCACCCCCCCAAGCCCTTTCAAATATTGCGTGGTATTTCCTTCCTGTTCATCCATTGTATAGTGTTGTAAGTGCTTGCCAGCTAAATGCAAATGGGCTCCAAGTTTTTTTTTGTTGTGGCATATGTCTGCGGTGTGAAAGTACGCAGCGGGGCCAGTATTAAATGTAGTCGTTGAAAGGAAAAACGAAAGAGAAAATGCCTCCCTTGCTCCGTTGTTGCGACTTGAAGCCATTCCGGATGGCCGTCGAATGCAAGTTTGTAGTGGATATTGTCATAACAACTTCTCTCTCAGCCACGCTCAGAGCTCTCGGTAGTCGCTTGGCCGGACTCTGCGTTGCTTGTTCTGGTGTCGATGCGGGTTGACAGGTTTTCGGAAGTAGGCATCGTCTTCACCACCTCCCTGTGTGAAGTTGCCGCCGTTTTGGAAGCCATTCATCATGCCTCCGCCGTTCATCCCGTTCATATTGCCGCCCATTCCGCCCATGGTGTTCATACCATTCATACCGCTGGCATTGTTCATGCCCCAGTTGTTGTTCATGCCACCGCCATTCATGTTCATATTGTTCATGCCGTTCATGTTGTTGTTGTTGTTGTTGTTGTTCATGCCGTATCCTCCATTCATATTTCCGTAGCCCCCATTCATGTTGTTGAAGCCTTGCATACCCATCATTGGCATGTTCATCATAGGCATAGGCATAGGAGGCATGCCCATGTTCATACCCATATTCATGCCCATATTCATTCCCATACCGCCCATGCCCATCATGTTTGGCATCATGCCCATGCCTCCATTAAACATCATGTTGTTCATACCCATGTTGGGCATTCCGTTCATCATGTTGCCATTCATCATATTCTGGGATTGTTGGTTCTGCATGGCGCGGGGTCCTTTGGGTATCTTGGGATTCTCTAGGAAGTCTTCAGCCGGTCTCTTCTTCGAGACGGCGTCCTCTGCCTTGACTACTTCAGTCTTGCCATCTGCAGCCTGAGAGCTGGGAACGAGACTCTTTGACTCGGCTGAAGGGGACTTGGATGCCGAATCGACTGATTCTGTAGCTGGTGAGTTGGGCTTCTGCTCTGAAGACTCGATGCTCTTCCGCCTCGTCTTGTCCTCCACAGCGTCTGCTGCTCCATCTTCCTTATTTGCTGCATCTTTAGCTTGATCATTCTCCGAGCTGCCAGGCACTTCTTCCGAGTTGCCCTTGGGTGACGACGGGGGAGTGACCTTGGCAGCTTCCTTCTCCTTGAGGTACTCTTGAATCTTCTTTGACACTTCTTCATCAGGCTGGAGATCATCTATTAGCACACCTTCAGTCTGACAAGCAGGGCAGACGAAGTCGCTTTCGATGAGTGCATTGGTTATGCAGTCATTGCAAAACGTCTTCTGACAGCACGGAGTTTTCATTGGCTCTATGAACATCTTCTTGTCAATTGAACATTCGAGACCACGCTCTTGCATTTCCTTGTCTTCCGCCTGCGCCGTCTTGGCCGCGGCAGAAGAGGACTTGGCCTTGGCTTGGAATTGCTCCCAAGAGGCACTGTCTGGCTCAGCAATGACAAAGTCTCCCTCAGCGTTGACCATGATTCCTGAGGGCCGTTTGGTTTCATCACCTTCCGACTGAGCTAAAATGACAGACTTATCCACCTTTTGTAGAAATGAACGAGGGATGCCAGTGGTGCGCTTGACGCGAGGTCGATTGTCAAAATCGGGATCATCGTTGGTTGGGCACAACTGGATCCAATGGCCCTTGTTTCCACATCGATAGCAAATGTACCCATTAGGGGGGTCATGGTCAGGAACATTTGCCGGCCGCTTGGAGCCAGGCTTACCAAAGGGTACTGGTGCTTGGCTGTGTGAATGGTTAGCAATTGATTGAATCGGTCAAAACACAGGATGACAGCTTACTGAGACAACTCTTCTTGCTGGGCTGACCATTGCTCTGTCTGAGCAGCAAACATGGCGGCCATTCGATCTTCCTCCGTCATGGCATCGTTCATCTGGCTGAAGGCATTTGTATTTGGTTTGGAGGCCGATACTTTTGCCAACTGTTCCTTACGGCCGGCGTTCTTGGCCGCCACGGGCATTTTGCCTGAGACATATCGAGCGGCTCGCCCAGCTCCAGGCTTAACGGCGGGCTGTCGCCGAGCAATCACTGTCGTTGATCTGGGAACAATTGTTGTATCATCATCGTACTCTGTGTAATTCCGAGTTAGCATCTAACCAAGACATGAGCGCTGCTTTGTCTGTAGACTCACCTTCACTGTTGTCGTCTGTATAAATATAGAGGTCGAAATCTGTGCCATCACCCAATCCGCTCTTGTTGATAATCTCACGTTTGAGCTCAAAGACTGAGATACCTGTGCCGTCAAATTCCACTCTAGTGGGCTCCTTCTGCGACTTGAACTTGAAGAACACCGAGGAAGACATTGTTGCTGAAGATGGTGATTTTGTTTCTTGGGGTTACGGTAACAAAATGCAAAATGCAAAAGTAAAATAAGAGATGTCAAAAGGATGTTAGGCTCGTCAAAGTAAGACCGAAGGGGCTATATATCTGTAAAGTAAATACGTCGGAAGACCTCAGCCATAAAACAATGACTAAGTGAGTATTGATTTTTTCTTGCTGCTAGCGAACTTTTTTCTTGTTTTGATTCTTCTCTTCTTGGTTCTGCACCTCGGTGCTGTTTCAACTCAAGATGAACTCAAAATAATCAATTCTGATGGTAAATTGGAAGAAAGACAAAGACAATAGGGCAAATGGGTATGTTGAGTAATGGAGTACAAGCGGCAATAAGCCAGAAGGAAAGACAACCCTAGAGTTCCCCCTCACTTCCTGATCACCATAACAGACCAGCCTATGCACCAGCAAATAAACAACCAACTGTTAGCCGTCTCTGGACCCTCCGTCAGACAGGCTAGCAAACTCCCAAGAAAAGCAAAAATAAGGACGAAGCGAATAAACGAGGGTTTATTCGCCAGGAGAAAAGGAGGTGGAAGATATCAGCGTCGTCTCGGTCGAGAGGCCGCCAAATGGGTTGGGCTACGTCGACGGTTCTACCGGATCGATCACGCAAACAGAGACTGCGAGAGCTTTGAACCCGTCGAAGCCACCGCTCAGCGCGATGAAAATCGATGGATGGCGAGCGAACAATCGCCTGGGCGCAAATCGTCGATGGATCGGAGATGGTTTCGATGGGAAGGCGATGAGTCGTGATGCAAACAGGGAGAAGGAGAAGTGAGGAGAAAAAAAGAGAAGCGGAGGCCTGGGGACCGTTAGTCCATTATTAATGGGAAGCGCGTATTGATAGCGAGCGCAGGCCACTTTTTCGTAACGAACCGGCAGCGTTTGCCTTTGCCGGCGAAACTTTCCCCCAGCCCCGGGGAGCTCACGTGCCGAAACTCCGTCTTGGAGAAGGCTAAAGAAGTGACAAGGAACGACAGGGGTGACCTGGACGGTACTTTTAGCACCAAGCCTTGTGCGTCTCTGCCCACACAATGTAGGTGGTTGAGACCGCACGATAGCTTCGTGGTGTAGGTACCCCTACGGTATCTGCACCCATTTTCCTCAGCAGCTGCCGTTGGTAACCGGCTCGCCAAAAAAAGTTCCCCTCCAAGCCCTCCAATCTGCCCCGCCGCGAGAAGCTTCTGCAGCCAGCAGAAGTGCGTGTATCTTCGCGCTGCAAGAGGTAGGGCGACATGCCCCGCACCATCTTTCTTCATGACTTCGCTCCGCTGCCCTCGACAAATCTGGACGAGGATCAAGCCTTTCTCTTCCCAATTCACACAGAGTCCTCGAGTAGCGACTCCTTCGTTTCGACCGTATCTCACCGACTCGATCCGTGCTCACCAAGCTAGAAAGATGGCGCCTCAACTCGACAGCTTCTTCAAGCAGGTTGACAGCAACACAGATGTCTTCATCGAGCGTCTGCGCAAGGCTGTCGCCATCCCCTCCATCTCGGCCGAGGATGCTCGTCGCCCTGATGTCGTTCGCATGGGTCACTTCCTGGCCGACGAGCTGAAGGCTCTGGGTGCCTCGGTTGAGCTGCGCCCGCTTGGCAAGCAGCCTCACAAGGAGCATCTCGACCTGCCTCCCGTTGTCCTCGGACGATATGGAAACGACAAGAACAAGCGAACAATCCTGGTCTACGGCCACTACGATGTCCAGCCTGCGGAGAAGAGCGACGGATGGGCAACTGAGCCTTTTGAGCTCACGGTCGACGACAAGGGCCGCATGTTCGGTCGTGGCTCAACCGACGACAAGGGACCTGTCCTGGGCTGGCTCAACGCCATTGAGGCCCACCAGAAGGCTGGCGTTGATTTCCCCGTCAACCTGTTGATGTGCTTTGAGGGTATGGAGGAGTATGGCTCCGAGGGTCTTGATGATCTGATCAAGGAGGAGGCCAAGAAGTTCTTCGCCGATGCCGATGCCGTCTGCATTTCGGACAACTACTGGCTCGGAACTGAGAAGCCCTGCTTGACCTATGGTCTCCGAGGCTGCAACTACTACTCCATCGAGGTTTCTGGCCCTGGTGCCGACTTGCACAGCGGTGTTTTCGGTGGACAGGCCCACGAACCCATGACCGATCTCGTTGCCGTCATGGGCTCCCTTGTTGACTCCAAGGGCAACATCCTGATTCCTGGTATCTCGGAGCAGGTTGCCCCCGTCACTGCTGATGAGGAGAAGCTCTACGAAAGCATTGCTTTCACCATGGAGAACCTGCACGAGTCTCTGGGTAGCACCACCACCATCCACGAGGAGACCAAGCCCACTCTGATGGCTCGCTGGAGATACCCCTCACTCTCTCTCCACGGTATCGAGGGTGCTTTCTCTGCCCCTGGCGCCAAGACTGTCATTCCTGCCAAGGTTGTTGGCAAGTTCTCCATCCGAACTGTCCCCGACATGGACATTGAGACGACCAACAAGGTTGTCTACAAGTATGTCGAGGAGCAATTTGCCAAGCTTGGCAGCAAGAACAGCATGAAGGTTTATGCCCAGCACACCGGAAAGTGGTGGGTTGCCTCACCAAAGCACTGGAACTTTTCCGCCGCTGCCAAGGCGGTTGAGCGTGTCTGGGGCGTTGAGCCCGACTTCACCCGTGAGGGTGGAAGGTAAGTTGTCTTTTTTATATTTCTACTCGTCCAACATCTACTACCAAATACTAACATGATCCTGCAGTATCCCTGTCACCCTTACCTTTGAGGAGGCCACTGGCAAGAACGTCCTGCTGCTACCCATGGGAAGCTCAACAGATGGCGCCCACTCCATCAACGAGAAGCTTGACAAGCGCAACTACATTGAGGGCATCAAGCTGCTGGGTGCTTACCTGCATTACGTCGCCGAGGAGCCCCAGAACTAAATTCAGAGGGCATGAATGAACGAATAAATAAATCAAGATATCAAGATGCATTGGAAGCAAAAACGTGTACGTTAAGAACTCGTAGGACATTGATACCGGGCATGAAAATTCGCAGTGTATGTGAAAATCTATCGGCTCTCCGCACCTACGTCATACGCAGCATGAACTCTCTGCGTTTATTTGCATTACATCCTGTTCCAGAGTCTCCTCAAAGCTAGAAGAGGCAGGGACCGATGCTGCAAATATCCAAAATGAAGCCATTTCCAAGCATGTGCATTTATCTCGGCGCAGTAATGCCAATCAGATATTCTACTTGTAAATATTTGAACAATCTCGATCGGGCTTCAATCTCGTGTTAGTGCCCCTCCCCATCCGTGCGGCCGCGGCTTCCGGCTAGCGGCCCAATTAGTGGACAATCGAGCATGGATGGATCACTGGGCTTGCTGAGCTTTGATTGATTGATCGACTGGTAGCAAGTCAGAGACAAGTACCGACGCTGCGGCCGGCCGCTAATCACTAAAGGGCATTTTGACGCCCCATGACCCTCGATCGGACGGGCGGGAGGTTCAAAAGCTCCAGAAGTGGCCTATTCGTTGCTCTGTCAGGGTTGTGTGATTTGCAACAGAATACGTGCAGATGTGAAATTACATGGTGCTTCAACAAGGCCATGCCAATAATTTGTACTTGTAGTAAAAGCTGATGACTGTCAGGGAGATGAATGACAGCGGACATACTCCGTACACTGACGTATCATTCCGATGTTGGCCGGTTGGGTACCATTGAACCTAATCGCTTCGCCGTGCGGTGTTAAAGAAAAGACGGGATCCCTTGACCGTGCTAAAAGAGAGACTTGTCTGCGGGGTTAGTGGTTGATCAATCACATCAACTGCGGTACTCGTCAGATACTTGCACATAAAACAAGCAGCAGGTGAGCTCCCAACCGCAAAGAGAGTTTGGGCGGTGTCGGCGGTTAGTCGAGCCATCAGATCAGCGGAAGCTGTGCAGCAGCACCTCATTCGAGGCCAAGCTTCCCGTCCTCATTTCTTGTGCTCTCATCGTTTCTTCCACTAGACATCTCGTCTCTTCCGCCTTCGTGGATATCCATATTGCTTGTCTTATGGCGGGCGGCATTTGGGAGGCCTTCTTTTTTGAAGACGACATTCGGGCCATGGTGCGAGAGAGCGGCATCTCGGCGACCAAGCCGATATTCCCCAGCTATCTCCTGCCGAGCTTCAAGTTTACATTTCCTGGGCGTCGCCGCCACTCTGCATCGTCCACATCCTCAACAGGGTCGGAACCATCTAGTAGCCGTAGCGATGACGCTTCATCGGCAGTGACCACGCCAAACGGCTCTCCCCCAGATGGCGATTCAGCATTCAGCAACCTGAAAAACACAGCAGAGCCTCGACGTCTCTCTCGGACGGCGGCGGATACGCTGCGCTGCTCGAGCTGTGCTACAGACATAGCTTTTACGTCTCAAATCATTTCCAAGGGATTCACAGGTCGCTACGGCCGTGCGTATCTGATCGCCCCTCCACCGGCAGACTCGTCGCTGCTGAATATCCGCATTGGCAAGAACGAGAACAGACAGCTTGTCACCGGTTGGCACGTGGTGGCGGACATTTGCTGCGGGATATGCTCGCGCAAGCTCGGCTGGAAGTACGTGGACGCCAAAGAAGAATCACAAAAGTACAAGGTGGGCAAGTATATCCTGGAGACGGAACGGGTGGTGACACATCGGAGCTGGGAAGACACCACCATTTCCGAGGGCCAGGAGGAGCTCATGTACGAAACGGAACAAAACGAAGACACGGCGAAAAAGGACGATGATGACACCGAGATTGAGTTTGACTCTTCGGATGAGGATGAGTGTGAGGCCGTCTTTGCTGGCCTTTGGGATGCGGAAACCGCTGCGAAGCGCAGGAACCGCTTGGCGGCTAGACCGAGGGCAGCTCAGCAGCAGGGCGAATGATGTCGCTGGGGGCGCTGAAATTATCATTCATGAGATACCATTGTTGGCGTTTTTTTTTTTGCATGGAAATTTTGTAAAGAGGAATACCCCGAACAGCAGTTCTGTCTTTCGTTTTATCATACTTTGGCTCTTGTTGATTCTACAAAGATGCTCTGATAGTCTACGAAGCATTAATACTATGACGCAAGTTGATCTTTGTGTGCGTCTTGTGAGCAACATGGCCCCTTCTACAGAGCGGTTGACTGCAGGTGTTTTAGGATTCTTTCCGGTCATGATACTTGGTGCTATATACTAGGTGCTTCTTTAAGATATCTGCTACTATAGCTATATTTCCCTAGTATTTACTACTACATCTACATTTGTCTAGTGACTGCTAATATAATTGTATATTTGTAGTTTTTACTACTATAGCTATAGTCGTCTAGTACTCAGTATTATTTACGACATGGGATCCTGTTGAATAGCAAAATTGAGGTGCTGAATAGGCGTTCCCTTCCTTTGAGACTGTGCACTACTAAAACTGCTAGGCAGTGTCGGTGGAATGATCGGACCATTTGTATTCGACGTCTCCTTCGGGGAACTAGTAATAGTACCTGTACGTCGGTAATGAGGTTACAGTGGTGAGATTGAATCTGGCTGTTGATTTCCCCATTACTTTGTGACTGTACACCATCTATCCGCATGTACCAAGGTAGCCTGTCGTACATTGGGCACTTATCTTTTGAACATGTGTAACCGGACAAGATGAGCTGACAACATGAAGACGCCTACATGTACAGGTACGACGTGCAGTCGGTGTAGATGTAGGCTGATGTGTCATGAGTCCAAGCTGGCCCAAGGGCAAGATTTGGCGGCAACATTCGAGCATTGGAGGCCATCACCAGATGTAAGGGGGCTGATGCCAGGCGTGATGCGCTGTACGGAGCGCCGTAAGCATAACAGGTAATAGCCCGTCCGGTGCGAAGTAGACAGTACTTGTGAGGCTCGTGTTTTCAGCTTCATCCCCCCCCTTTTCTCCCTTTCGGTCTTGGAATCCTTGTGCTAAGGAGGGTGGTAGGATGGGGGAACGCAAGTCCGGTGCAAGCCCCTGAGCGGGATGCCGTGGGAGCACCAGTACACTAAATAAACACACTAAATGTGGTCAATGTTTATAAGGAGTACATGTAATTTTATATGTCACTCGCTCTCCGCCCGTGTATCTAGCATATCTTACGAGTACGCACGAAAGAACCAATGCTCCCAGTGTTCGGTCGTTTCCTCGGCAGTCCATCGGTTCCGTGAGATTTAGCTCTGCTGTAATCATGTTGTGCTGCCGCAAACGGTGGACCGCTGTGGGTAGATTCGAGCGTTCTAGCGGGCTTCAGCGCGGCCATGAATGGCAATTTACGGAGTGTCGAGGTCATCAATCCCGGCAGTACCGCTGACCTGTTCTGTACTGTAATTGCCCGCTAATGAGGGGGGACCCTTGGGGCTTGCGAGCCCTGTAACTTCGTCACTGGCGAAAGGGGGCAACCGGCCTGTAGGGGCCGAAACGTGGGGGCTCCAGCTGTCGATGTCACTATCAGCGGGCCCTTGTTGGCCGGCAGGGCGACCATGCGTCATATCGTCACTTTTCGAATGACTTGTTTGTGTATGTACACGCATCCCGTGCAGGTGCCACAGTGGGGTGGGCGGTGAACGAATTGAGTTGAGCAGCAAGCAGCTCAAACCCACAGCTGCGTAACTGGTTTGGCAGCAGCGTCGGGTTGATGCAACCGCCAACATCCCTCTGCCTTTTTCCCCCTCCGTCGATCAAGGTCTCTTCGACATCTGTCCTTCGCCCAGTTGTATCATTATTACAGTCCGTCGTTTGCATCCTACCTGATCTCACCATCGACGATACCTACAGCTACTTTGCAGGCGCGCCAGTTCCCGCCCTGCCGCTGCGTACCGGTACGTAGCAGCTTCGCCCCTTGGCCGCACCAGATTTCTGCCCCGCAGGGTCCATGCAAGCTTGTACCTACTCGTAGTGGTGGTCATTGCAATACCTGGAAAGGTGGTGACAGAGATGGGAGTTGGGGAGACTCGCCCACGCTCGTGACCCCCCTGATGCGATGCGAGCCCGGGTAGCCTGTACTTTGCATTCCTGTTTGCTGACTTCTCCAGACCCGGGCCACCAGTGTCACCTCCAGAGCCCTGACAGTTATTTATCATCCCCCGGGACTGTTGGACCAGAGTTGCTGCGGTTCTCCGGCCCTTTCTTCTACTGGTCCATCACGACACCACCACTGCTGTAATTGATACCCTCCGATAGCTTTCCATCATCACAGCCAAGCCAATCCAGCCGACTCGATAGACGTTCAGAATATACGTATTCCATATGCAAGGCACTTCCGGCCACCGCTCTCGCGGTTCTGAGGAGTACGGGGTGTACGATGATGCAAAGACGTACTATGCTTCCGAGGAGCGTCACAGCAACCGCTATGGAGTCCGAACTCGAACATACTCGCAGGTAGGTGCTTAATTGATACCAGAGGAGGAACGAGACAATACTAATGGGATGTGCTACAGAATAGCTTGGTGAAGCAGTTGGAGAGGATGGGGGCACAGGAGCCATTCAGACGTGGAAGCCACGGTTAGTTCTCTCTTCCAATTTCAGTAGAGAGGCGGATATGCAAGATTTTAACCATAGCTATGTAGACGAGACCACCATGGAGACGGGCCGCCGCTTTCTTGTTCAGGTTGATGCCACACTGGAAATCCTGAAGAACCAGGAGGACACTGACGGAAACATGCAAATCACGATTGAGGATAATGGCCCCAAAGTCATTTCTCTGAGAACAGCTGCCTCGGCTGGCCACAACCGATTCGAAGTCCGAGGAACTTACATGCTGTCCAATCTCCTGCAGGAGTTGACATTAGCCAAGGAGTATGGCCGCAAGCAAATCATCCTTGATGAAGGTCGTTTGAACGAGAACCCTGTTGATCGTTTGTCCCGCCTCATCCGGGATCATTTCTGGGATGGACTTACCAGGCGAATTGACGCATCTAGCATTGAGATTGCGGCTCGTGACCCCAAGGACTGGACAGACGACCCTCGTCCGAGAATCTATGTCCCAATTGGAGCTCCGGAACAGTATGAGTATTATCAAAAGGTGGCTGCCGACAGACCAGAGCTCCGACTTGACGTCCAGCAACTGCCGGAGAAGATCACGCCAGAGTTGATTCGCGACATGAACGACAAGCCAGGTCTGCTGGCCGTAGCTGTGGAGAAGGTGGAAGAGGAAGATGAACTAGGCAACAAGACGACAAGCTTAAAGGGGCTTCCCTTTGTCGTCCCTGGTGGCCGCTTCAACGAGCTTTATGGCTGGGATAGCTACATGGAATCTCTGGGCTTGTTGATCCATGAACGGGTCGACCTAGCCAAGTCCATGGTGCTCAACTTTTGCTTCTGCATCGAGCACTATGGCAAAATTCTTAATGCCACTCGGTCTTACTATCTTGGCCGATCTCAGCCTCCCTTCCTGACGGACATGGCTCTTCGAGTATATGAGAAGATTAAGCATGAGCCGGATTCCAAGGAATTTTTGAGACGAGCCATCCTCGCAGCCATCAAGGAGTATCACAGTGTCTGGACCAGCGAGCCTCGGCTAGACCCGGTGACGGGCCTCTCGAGGTACCGACCAGAGGGTCTAGGAGTGCCTCCCGAAACGGAGGCCACCCACTTCGTCCACATCTTGAAGCCCTACATTGAGAAGCACAAGATGGAGTTTGAGGAGTTTGTCCGAGCTTACAACTATGGCGAGATCAAAGAGCCTGAGCTTGACGAGTACTTTTTGCACGATCGTGCAGTCCGTGAATCTGGCCATGACACATCGTATCGTCTCGAGGGTGTCTGTGCTGACCTTGCCACTATCGACCTGAACTCTCTATTGTTCAAGTATGAAACAGATATCGGACGGACCATTCGAAGCCTCTTTGGCGACAAGTTGGTCATTCCAGCTGAATTCTGCCAGGGAACACCATACCAGCCTGGCGAGTCCGTCTCTTCGGCGGTCTGGGACCGACGCGCCAAGCGGAGAAAGTTGACAATGGACAAGCTGATGTGGAACGAAGAGGAGGGCATGTTCTTTGACTATGATACAGCCAAGAGACAGAGGTGTACGTATGAGACTGCCACGACCTTGTGGGCGCTCTGGGCTGGAATTGCAACGCCCAAGCAGGCAGCCGATTTGGTGAAGAAGGGCCTGCCCAGGTTCGAGATGTTTGGTGGTGTGGTGGCTGGAACGGAGAAGTCTCGGGGTGCAATTGGATTGGAACGCCCCAACCGACAGTGGGATTACCCATATGGCTGGGCTCCGCAGCAGATGCTGGCCTGGACAGGACTGCTTCGGTACAGCTTCACCGAAGAAGCTGAGCGCCTCGCCTATAAATGGCTCTTCATGATCACCAAAGCGTTTGTCGATTTCAACGGAGTAGTGGTTGAAAAGTACGACGTCACGCGTCCGGTTGACCCTCATCGTGTTGACGCCGAGTATGGAAACCAAGGCCTGGATTTTAAAGGCGTTGCGAAGGAAGGGTAAGTCTCGCGCACCCCCTGCCGCTATGTGAGCACGGCATGGATGCTATTGTGGGATGCTAACGTAAAGGTGCAATAGGTTCGGATGGGTCAATGCCAGTTACGTTTACGGACTCCAGATTGTGAATGCGCATATGCGACGAGCACTGGGAACGTTGACTCCGTACGAAACGTTTATCAGGGCAATTGAGCTGAACAATGAACGAGCCTTGGCCGGTCTGACCCTGACGTGACATTGTTGATTCGGAGACCAATACCGAAGCGGTGGCTGTCCCGAGACGATACGATGAGCGGCTAGAAGAATGTCACCAGTAGGCCGCCAAGGCTGAAAGGGGAATATGAAGAAATTGGAGACATGTCGACTTAGAAAATGTCGTGAGAGCTGTTCTGGCAGTCCATGAGTCAGCAGAAACGCAGGTCAACAGAAACGCATAAGAAAGTAAAAACAGAAAGCAAGCAATAAAATGACGTTGTTTGAATCGCTTTAGTCCGACCAACCTTGTAGACTAGATACTCGTTGATAGTAGCTAGGTAATTTCCCCTATAGAAATTAATAACACCTCATGAAGGGGGAACATCATGCAGCTCATTCGCGCGCGTGTAAATGCAATTCCATGTGATTATGCGCTTGATAGGCTCTCGTGTAGAATAGATAGATGATAGCTGGGCTGTGTAAACTCGAGGGGTAGGAGTCATATTGGCCATCAATTGCACCAGCCTGTGGGTTGCTGGTGTAAGACTGGCCCGGCGATGTGACGGTTGATCGTTTTACCGAGCCAGCACCTCTTTACACGGATAAGTACTTGTTAGCTGGAGCGTCTCGCTTCAATGTGCAGTAGAATGCGTCACTTCACATGCAAAAGAGTTCCGGTGGGCCGTGGGGAAAGTGGATTGGCTGGCGCATTGCCGATTTGAGCGTGCTGTGGAGAGGGTTCGCCACTTAAAACCGGAAAGAAGGTACTGCCGGACGGCGCACGTTTGAGTAGGAGAGGACGTCGTTGAGAGGGAAGGAAGGAAAGAAGGGAAAGAAGACCAAAAATTAAGGAAAGAGAGAGGTAGGAGATATAGCTATCTATAAATTTATATCAGTTCAATCCTCCATTCTCTGCATTCTCTAGACTTCTCAAGGTCAGAGCACCGGCTGGAACTATCAAGCTGTTATACGCAGACTACGGACACATGGAGGCCACACGACAACGCGGGGCCGACGGCTGACTTCTCTCGGCATCTCGGCCAATGGCGGCTAACCCACTCCATCGACATTGAAGCTCCCTTTGAGCCGAGCTGGAGCCGCACCGCATGTGGACTCTGCCAGCGCCTGTGGCTTTCCCGCTTAAACAGCAGTGAAGCTCGGTCACGTCACGCTGTCTAAGCTGCAAGGGGGGCTGGCATATGCATGGGCTGCCCTCTCGAGTGCCGAGCTTCAAGTCCCCAGGCCTCGTCTAAGTGGCTGGACCTCGCTGAGGTGTCGGGCCATTCCGGCGCTCAGAAGGCGAGTGGAGTGGCAGCCGTGGGAGTCAGACTCCAAGATCCGAGGTGATACTGTTATGGGGGAAAGGGAGAGACAGCCGCTGTGGCTGGATTCGGAGCCATGACTGGACGCCGCGTTTGATGGGTTGCGTGAGAGCACGGGTCGAGGCCTGTGACTCGGCTCAAACTTTAACTTCTTCCTGTTCCTCCTCCTCTTTTATCCTTCTTCTACATCACTTTTCCTCATTTGAAGCAACTTTGGTTGTGTGATTACTCCTCTGGATTTCCTTGTTTCTTCATCTTCTATTCAATTGAGTTGATTCATTCCGTGTCTAACAGGCAGTGACCACTTGCATCATTCCATCATGGCTTCCAACAACATGGTGACGCTGGCTGTGAATCCAGACAAAGAAGATGACCTCTTCCTCCAAGAAGTCCAGCAAGTCAAAGATTGGTGGCGCGATTCACGATGGAGGCACACCAAGCGTCCCTTCACTGCCGAGCAGATCGTCTCTAAGAGAGGCCATCTGAAAATTGAGTATCCCAGCAATGCCCAGGCCAAGAAGCTATGGAACATCCTGGAGAACCGTTTCCAGGTGAGTCATTGCAGTCATTTTTGCTATGACGATATCTCCAAGGAAGCCTCCTAACAAGAAGATGTAGAACAAAGATGCTAGCTATACCTATGGCTGCTTAGAACCTACAATGGTCACTCAGATGGCCAAGTACCTCGACACCGTCTACGTCTCCGGCTGGCAATCGTCTTCAACCGCCTCTGCGTCAGACGAGCCCGGCCCTGACTTGGCAGACTACCCATACGTAAGACTCGCCATCATTGGACATGTACACAAGAACCATCTTGGCTGATTTCCTTCCTCTTAGACCACTGTGCCCAACAAAGTTGGCCATCTCTTCACGGCCCAGCTCTTCCATGATCGAAAGCAACGCCAGGAACGCCTGAGCATCCCCAAGGCTCAGCGTGCCAACGTAGCCAATATTGACTATCTACGACCCATCATCGCCGATGCCGATACTGGCCATGGTGGCTTAACTGCCGTCATGAAGCTCACCAAGCTCTTTGTTGAGAAGGGTGCTGCTGGTATCCATATTGAGGACCAGGCTCCTGGCACTAAGAAGTGCGGCCACATGGCCGGCAAGGTTCTCGTCCCCATTAGCGAGCACATCAACCGTCTGGTTGCCATTCGTGCGCAAGCCGATATCATGGGCTCTGACCTGATCGCCGTCGCCCGTACCGATGCCGAGGCTGCAACTCTCATCACCACCACAATTGATCCTCGTGACCATGCCTTCATCCTTGGCTCTACCAACCCCAACTTGCAACCTTTGAACGACCTGATGATCGCCGCCGAGCAGAGCGGAAAGTCTGGTGATGAGCTTCAGCGCATTGAGGACGAGTGGATTGCCTCTGCTGGCCTAAAACGATTTGATGACGCTGTTGTTGCCGCCATTGAGGCCAGCTCTGGCGCCAACGCAGCCAAGGTCAAGAGTGATTACCTTGCTCGCGCCAAGGGCAAGAGTAACGCTGAGTCTCGTGCTCTCGCCAAGAGTATACTTGGCAAGGACGTCTTCTTCGACTGGGAGGCTCCCCGAACCCGAGAGGGCTACTACCGCCTGAAGGGTGGCTGCGACTGCGCCATCAACCGTGCCATTGCTTATGGTCCCTTCTGTGACGCTGTCTGGATGGAGAGCAAGCTTCCCGATTATGCTCAAGCCAAGGAGTTTGCCGACGGTGTCCACGCTGTCTGGCCTGAGAAGAAGTAATTTTACCCTCTAAACCCCCCCTTTGCTATAATTCTAGGTTGTTTATCTAACAAACATTTCAAATAGGCTCGCATACAACCTCTCGCCCTCTTTCAACTGGAAGACTGCCATGCCTCGTGACGAGCAGGAGACTTACATCCGTCGACTTGCAAGCTTGGGCTACTGCTGGCAGTTCATCACTCTTGCTGGTCTGCACACGACCGCTCTCATCAGCGACCAGTTTGCCCGCGCATACGCCTCCGTTGGCATGCGCGCGTATGGTGAGCTTGTCCAGGAGCCCGAAATGGAGCAGGGTGTCGACGTTGTCAAGCACCAGAAGTGGAGCGGAGCCAACTACGTCGATGAGCTGCAAAAGATGGTGACTGGTGGAGTGAGCTCCACGGCGGCCATGGGTAAAGGAGTTACTGAGGACCAGTTCCATTAAGGGGACATTCGTTGTCTATCATCTCATTCCCTCAAAACCCTTTCCGCCAATCTTTATACCCTGTTCCAGAGCATGAGAGGAGTACATTAGTTTTAGTTTCTTGGATAATACGTAACGTCACTTGATTTGGGATTAAAAGATTGACCGCCGCAGAAACAGAATTACAAAAAAAAAATGTTACACATTAAAAATATGTACTTGTAGTCAATACTGTTTCCCATAGATTCAGCAATGCAAACGGCTTTGAAAAAAAGACCCTTGAACCGCAGTCAGCATGCTATTGGCGTTGAACGTTGATTCATCATCGTCGAAACACCAGCCACCACCGATCCGTCCTCGCTCCCCATGGCGCGGACAAAAATGCTGCGCACTCCCAGTCTAACCATTGACGCCCACCCAGAATATCACGGACGTTTGAAGCAAAAACCAAAAGTAAGATGAAATGTTTAGCAAACAAGAGGCATCTGTACACAGAGCATCAATGTGTGATTCCTAATGTCGCATGTTCCCCCTAGAAAACGTTCTCCCCCGAGAAGAAGAAAAAAAGGAGAAAAGTCAAAGAAAAAGCTCAGCAGCATAGGATAAAAGGGGCAACGAGCATTTATAAGGGACCACGCGCGCTGTTATCCCCTCCATTCTCTCTGGAACACGGCCAAAGCACCCTTAAAGACACCAGCCAGCCAGGTAATACTCCACGCACGAATGTTGTTCAAAAACGCAGCGATCCTGGGCCGAGCCTAGTCAGCCTCGGCTAGCTGCATGATCAACTTGGCGGCCCGATCCAAGAAGGGGAACGGGCTGGTGACCTCCTTCTCTTCGAGCAGCCTTCCGTCCTGGGTCTCGTAGCCCGAGCACTTGAAGTCCACAAGATAGACTCCCTGTTCCATCTCATAGATTTGAATGTCCATGTGCAGGGCGACGAAATCCTTGCGTGAAGTCGGGTCTTCGGGAGAGTAGACGTGGAAGCTGTCTGGCGACCCGCTCTTGATTTCGGAATCTTGTCGGCGTTCTGCCTCTCTTTGGATGTCTAATCATTGGTGTTAGAATTACAATTTCTCTAAGATTGCGTTGCATAACGAGTTGAAAGTTCACTCAAAGACTTACCAGACGATGGCCATCTGACTTGGATATGCCATGGATCCGCAGGTAGTTTATACTTCTTAGTAGGATCAGTGTCATTTAACTTGCGTGCCAAAGGAACGCCGTTTGCAAAGCTGCTATCACGACTTGTAGCGTCGTCGCCCCCTCTGCCGTGCGCCTCATCGTAACCCTCATCGCGGAGATGAGATGCACCGAGCTTATGGAGGGCTTTGTGAATACAGAGAAGGGCCTCCCATGGCGCATTGCGAGATCGGATGCCAAATTGCCAGCGCACAGGCTTGGACTTTTTGGCGGGTGTAGTAATTGGTGTCATTCCCTGTGGGCGTTTACTAGATTCGTCCAGGCGTAGAGCATTGCGTGCGTGGGGATTTAGACGACGTGCTGCCTCTTCCTTCTCGGCCTCGGTTCGAGTAGTGGGTAGCTCATCGTTAATAGCTATAGTTGGGGGTAGAGGGTCGTGATCGGTTCCGTTCTTTTCCCTCTCCATGTAGTCTCTGTGATAGGCGGGGAGACTGCTGGGTAGGATGCCGACCTTGTTGACGTATGGACGAGGAGATGTGCCTCCAGGTGAAATAGCGGATCGTGTAGAAGAGATGCTCATCATAGGACTGCCTTCCTCACCAGTGAGGCCAGATTCTGGATCTGGAAGGCAGTTAGTATCCAGCTGGCTTGGTTACAAACGAGCAGCAGGTTAGTGGGAGATGAAGGATATGGACTCACTATTTGCTAGCATGAGTTTGTTTTCTCGGACAATCATGTAGGCGTCCTTGATTGCTGAGGGTTCCTCGGATTGGAGAGCCTCCTCGACATCGTCTTTGCCGTATCCCATGGTCTTGCTAATCTTTTCTGTAACCTCATTGTGGAGCTTCTCTTGCACCTTTTCAGGAGCATTGGGTGCAATATCGCTCTTCTGAATGGCTTTGTTAGGATCAACACCGGTATGGAAGAACTCCTCGACGGGAGGCTGCAAGTACGTGGGCAAGTCGGTGTTGAACCACGGGTCAGCCCTAATCTCGTCAATGGTCATTCGCTGGACGGGATTGACAACCAGCATGCCCTTGATCAAGGCGGCGGCACCAGCCGGCATCCATTGAGGCATGCTATAGGTACCCCTAGCGATTTTGGCAAAGAGGCTAGGGATGTGCTCATCATCAAAGGGCAGCCTTCCGACAAGCAGGACGTAGAGAATAACTCCGCAGCTCCACACGTCCACCTCAGAGCCGGCATAGAGCTTTCCACCGATGACCTCAGGGGCAGCATAGTTGGGGCTGCCGCAGCTCGTCTTGAGGAAGTTGCCGTCGGTCATGATGTTGCTGAGACCAAAATCGGCAATCTTGACGTTGAGATTCTCATCCAGTAACAGGTTTTCGGGCTTTAGATCTCGGTGGACAATCTTGTGGCGATGGCAGTACTCGACAGCACATATCATCTGCTGGAAGAAACGGCGTGCCTCTGCCTCCTTCATGCGGCCGTTCTGGACAATGTAATCAAACAGCTCGCCACCGGCATACTCAAGCACCATGATGATTTCGGCCGGGGTCTTGATGACGGTATACCTAGTCGACGACACGCAGGTTAGCATTAGCAAGAATTGAAGGGCCGGGAGGAGGTAGTGGCATACAGCTTGATGATGTGCGGGTGGCGGAGCAGCTGGAGATACTCAATCTCACGCTCGACTCGACCGGCCATGTCGCGGCTGATGAGCTTCTTGCGGGTGATGATCTTGAGAGCAACCTGCTGGCCGGTGCCATTGTGGATGGCTAGGCGAACCTTGCCAAAGGAGCCCTCGCCCAGCGTGCGGATGACGGTGTAGGCGCCGATGCGCTGCTCGGCCCGGGACTTCTTCTCCTGCGGCTGCTGATCGGCCCGGGCGATGTTCTTGGGCGCCGTCGCGACATCTTCCTGCTGAGGCTGCGGCTGGTGCCGGCGGACGTGGGTGGACGACATGGAGATGGTCAGCTCCTCATCCTCGAAGCCTCGGGGGGCCATGGCGGGCAGCGGGAGGAGCACAGGCTAGGCGCTCGCTGGGGGTGTTTATAGGCGCTCAAGCTGGTCAAGGGTACGGTAAGGATGATGGATATTTGTGTTTGGTGTCAATCAACGCTCAGATGCGCGGTCAATCAATCAAAGCCAGACGTGGAGAATGACTGGCGCTGGCTTTGGCAATGGTGGAGCGAGAGTTCTACCTTGTCTACGTCTGGTCGAGATGGAGGGGTAACGTCACTCTAGTACCAAGTCCGGAAAATTACAGGTCGCAGGCCAGCCGTGGGACAGGCGCTAGGGGGTGTGCGGGCTCCACTGCGAAGGAGAATTAGCGGACAAAAGCTGCCAAGGCTGGAGCAGTTACAGGGCGCCGTTGTAGAGGCTTCGGGGTTGCTCGCTGAAATTGAGCGCTGTCAACACGCCGCCACCGTAGCGTAGCCGGGCTGAGGAACTGCTAAACTTACGACGGACATGCGCCATGGTTCTCATTCTCAGCTGAGCAGAGCTGCACGCTGCGATGAATGGATTGAATCATTGAATCATTGAATTCAATGGAATGCCGCAGTGTTCCAGCTCAGAGTTGCAGGTTTTGACAGCAGGGTACATTCATTAGTACTGTGAGAACTTGGGACGAGATGCAAGCAGAGAATCCATGGAGGTATAGGTAGTACTCAGGTACTTCTTGTACCCGGTAATAATATGGCGCAGAGATGAAGAATCATCATATCGCAATCTGCACAAGACAAGAACAAATCGAGCCATTGAAACACCATGGATGGCTTTCCCGTCTAGTCAGCTCCATCACATGCTGTCAACACCATTTATTTGTAACAGCAGCCTCGCCCGCTGACAGCTTCCATCAGCATTAGCCTGAGACCTGCATGAGATGTATCGCATTCCTGCCGCTGCCATGCACTCTGATTGGGCCTCCAAAGCCCAGTTGTTTAGGGCGAGCCGAGACGGATGGGATGAGTTCACGTCTCTGATAAACTCCATCATCATTGCGTTGCCACTCAGCAATTGTCATACGACTTTGGTGGCATTCCGATACGTGCCGTCGGGTGTTGTTATCGAGACTTGCAACCGGTGCCAAAGCCGTTTTGCCCTGCCACAACGTGCCGTCCCGTTTTTGACTTTCACTCGCTCCTCGCCACGATGGCTCCAAAGCTCATCGTCATTAAACCTAAACGGGCTTGATTTGAGGCGGGATAAGGCTGTGAACAGGTTATGTAGTACGAGTAAAAAAGAATAATTGGTAGGTTCCTTGCATCGTAGGAACTGGAAAAGAAATTGGTCACAAAAAAGAGCAAAAAACGAGGTTCCTGCGTGAATCGAACACGCGACCTAGAGATGACTGCGCGAAACTGCAATCTCTCGCTCTAAACCACTGAGCTAAGGAACCGTTCGGAAGCCGGTTGATCCGGTGTGGCGAAGGGGAGATTTATTTTGCCTTATAAGGGTCTGTCATTTTTCCCGACCAATACCGTTCCGTGATCCACGCACCGCTGCCGGTGACGGCCGCAAGCTTTACCCTGGAGTAGAACACGATTGCAAGATTTCAGAACAATTCGTGGCAAAGTGTGCGGGGAAAAAAGATTGCACCTCAGCCAAGTATCAATAGGAAATGAAGTGAGAATACAAGCATATACCCAACTTGACAAAGCCCTAAGTGCCTGATTATATTGTCATCAACTATGGAGTATATCTAACAAATATGCAATCTCCGTTGTCATCTGCACTTCTGCATCTGCTTTATGATATGCAAATAGTATTCTAAGCAATTATACATGCGAAGAGCTTAATATGAAAATCATTTGTGTTAATTGACAGATCCAAGTAGAAAGCTCAAGATCGGAATCTCCATACAATTGCGACCTCAAGTTCGGCAAGCCGCACTGCCTCGGGTCTGAATCCGCTTTCTTGGACGCCGCTTAAACGGGGCGGACTTTGATCCGAGATGATATGGTGGCTCCAATCCTCCACAGCGTCAGTGCTAATACTATTCTATCAGCCACTTAAACCATCTCCGCGCTCATTCGTTATGATTCCTCAAGAAACTCCATTTTGGCTCTTCTATTCACAGAAGGAGAAAAAAAGGACTTGTTACCATATATTGCCTTAAAGGAGGAAAAAAGGTCTAGGCCATGGGTCCTCTGGATTGAGAAACTGAAACTTTCGTTCTTTCTTCGCATTTCGCATCGCTTCGAGACGACCTACCCGGCAATGGCAGGCGCGAATGAGAGGCAATCTTCTGAGACATCCTTTCTCACACTCACGAATCTCATCTAAACTTAACATTGGCCTAATAATTCTTCATTTCACACCTAATTAAAGCGGCCAACAATGAGCGAGTCCGCTGAAAATGTGGACTCTTTGCGGGGTGGCCTCGCCTGTCAGAATTGCAGACGAAGGAAGAGAAAGGTCAGTTATTCTTCAACTAGTCCGCTTGTCTCTATATCATTGATAATTAATGTGTTGTAGTGCGACCGTCAAGTCCCCCGTTGCGGTTCGTGTATAAGGCGAGGTCTGGACTGCGTCATGCAAGTCATCAAGAGCATCGATGGACAAGAAGGGTCAGTATCACATCTTGTCATCAGGTTACCGCAACGCCCTAATTCGATCATTCAGAGCCGTTCAAAGTCTTGAAAAGGAAATATCGAACCTCGAAGCTCAGCTATCACGGCTGCAGACCACTGCACCAGCACTCCGTTCAACACCCGCCGTCCTTCAACAGCAGACTAATCCAACCCCCGTGCCATTTGAAGCTTCTATCTCATCGATTGATACTAGGGAGCAATCTATAGATACGGTTGATTTGGATGTTCTCAGAGAAGTTGAGACTGTGTCGCTTTACCGTGGCGAACTCTACAGCCTGCAAAAGATGACTCGCAGGGCACTCCGACTAGCAAATTGCGATCCTCGCGGTATACTGGATCTCACTCCGAAGAAGAGCTTGTTAGCATCATATGACGCCTCTATTTACTCAAAACCCAATGGCATAGGCGACTATCTGGACTACGACATTGCAGTTTATTATGCCAGCAAATACTTTTCTTATATCCACCCGACTTTCCCGATTGTCTCTGAAGCTGTAGTTCAGAGCATACTAAACAAAGTCACGGTTGGCAGTCAGAGTAATCTTGGGGACCGTGTCATGTTCTATCTCATCATTTCCATTGGAGCTATTCTCCCAATAGAGTCGTCGGCCGCCTTTGACACGCGCAACTCGGCAGATTATTTTATACGCGCCATGGAAACCCAATATTCTTACGACGAATCTGCTACCACGGCGCAAATTCTCCTCCTCCTCGCCATTTATTCACTCTTCGACCCCGGCACAGGCAGCTCGTGGCACCTCATGGATCTTGTCACGCAAGCTTGTATTGTTATGGGATATCATCAACTTCAGCCTGAACCAAGAGGAACCGCAGCGGCAGATGGAGATGGAGTAAAGCTATTTCAGGCAGCTTACGTACTTGACTTGTAAGATAACTTCCATCCAATTTGCGGTATCAAGACTAACCATGCCTTTTCGTGATAATTCAGCTCTATTAGCTCCGGATTAGGACTGCCAATGAGCATCCAAAACCGCGACATTTCCTCCGACTGGGAGACATGTATAGTGAAGCCTCCGGATATCTGTACATCCGACTCTGAAGGATTAACCCTGGTGGAGATGTTCAGCTGGGCATATGAGCTTTGCGGCAGCTTCCAGAACGATGGTGCGAGCTACCTATCACACTATAACGAATACCTACGTCGCAGAATATTGAGCCATAAAGGCGAGATACCGTTCCTATCAAAGATATTTGGACTCCATCTCGTAACTCAGAGTATAAAGAGGTCGGCTGGGGCCAGCTCTGCGCTTGAAGGCAGAGACAAATTGGTGCAAGACCATCTGGCAGTCCTTCAAAACTCAGTTTCTACGTGGTTTGCTCTGCCATGGATCACAGGATACAGCATATTCCAGCTTGGACTGTTACAACTCTTGTTTTGCGGCGGGCTTCCTCAAAAACAGAGGATAAGCCAGATTTCTCAGACGCTATCCCTGGCTGAGATGATTCTATCTGTTATCAGCACTAGATTTCCAGGCCTGTACCCTCAAAAAGCGCTTGTGAACAAGGTGCTCACGCAGATGGCATCTTCTGACGTCGAATTCCGGCATAATATCGACTTTCTCGATGGCAGTGATCTGTACGAATTCTGCACGAATGCTCTGATATCCGTCGGCATGAATATTTCCCATTGACGAGATTCTCTCAATACACACAGAAGTTTATCAAGCACATTGTCTATCCATCCTTGACAGTGATGATAATGCTCCCTTCCAAGTCAGACAAGCTGAAATGCCCAACTGCCTGCTTTTAGGTAGGTATTTCGGAACAGCAAAGGGGCCAAAAAGGAAGAAACACAGGCAAAAAATGAAATCCAATGCGTAATCTGGGAATCGAACCCAGGGCTCCCCGACGTTGCTCGGATGGCAACGGAGAATTTTACCACTAAACCAATTACGCTTGTTCTTCGTTGTGAGACTGTGTCGAGTTTATAACTATAAACCTATCACCAGTGGAAAACCCCTTACTTTTCCACGAAGCAACCGCAATTGGCTCTTTCAAAAGATCTCGAGTTACAATTTTCCAACAACATTTGTGTTTTACACCTCCTTAAACCCTTTTGTCCCATCGTTTGTCTCTTCAGGACCCTCGAGATCGGATGCTGTGCGGACTCAACTCAACTCCACCAAGATTTCCTAAATAGGCAAGTCTCGGAAAGCCGTCCGCCAGGAGCAATTTTCAGGCGGACGCAACTCCGGGAGTTACCCCATAATATTCCCAGCTGGATCTCGGGAATCTACGGATTAGCTGTGTTGGCTTGATGGGGGATAGATGATCTTGGTTATAGTCGAATGGAGAAGCTCCAGCCACCGCAATGGAAAGCGAAGTGATAAGGAAAGGCAAAATCCAAAGACGAGGAACAGACAACCCCGGAGTCTTGTATGATTGTCGAGCACTCTGCAAGAAGCAAGGCTGTAAGTAGATATGGCAAAAAAAGATGAAAAACGCAAAAAGAAATGTCTTGACGAGAGTGGGACTCGAACCCACGCGGATTGCTCCACCAGGAATTGCTGTTAAGGTAGCCTTAACCTGACGCCATAACCAACTCGGCCATCTCGCCCAGATGTTGTGATGTGATGGATTCTGCCGTTGTTCGGAGAGACGTTTCTGGCAACAACATCGTCGAACTGTTTTCACTCCGAGCCTTTCTTCTCCCAAGTGCTGCAAGGACGGGGCATTTTGGACAAAGACGCCACCCGCCACTGATGCCAGGCTTATCATGCTATGAGTGCCCTTGTCATTTTAGTGCCTTGAAGTGATTAAGCTCGAGTGTCAGCTGCAGCGGCGTATGTCGGAGCAGCATCGCCAACATCCGCGTCGAACATCTCATTGAAAGGGAAATCTTACTGATCTGACTTCTGCATTGGAGATGCAAGAATCCAATACTGTCGGCATCTTCTGAGCATGCCTCGTCAGATTACCAACTTTTCTGGCGCGTGCGCCCGTTGTCGTGCTAAGAAGCTCAAGGTAATGAACGAATGGAATGAGTTGATTCGGCGAACAATGCACTCAGCTTCTTTCTCCGTTTTCACTCTTTGGGATTCAAGTTGTCATTCTAACTAATGAATCTGCTTCCAAGTGCGATAAAGATGCTCGAGTCTGCTCCAACTGTGGCCGCGCAAAGACTCCCTGCATCGAGATTGATCCGGTCTCGGGGGAGCACTACGAGAGAGGGTGAGCTGGGATCTCGCAGCACATCATGCTATGTAAAAACCGGTAATTGCTCGTGTGCTCATGTATGATTAGATATATTGAAGACTTGAAGGCGCGAGCAGCCTATCTTCGAGCCGCCTATCTTGAAGCCCAAGGCAATAGACCATATGCACAGGCCGTACGGACCAATGACTCGACTCCTCTTGATCTTCAAGGGCATGGCATCTCGCCAAACGTGAGATCTATCGCCGGGTCTTCATCCAAGGCTACAGGAACTCCCAAATTCACCGACGGCAGTATTTTTAGGTGAGTTAGCTTATCATCAAATATTGAATGCCCTTTAGACTGATAGGCCTCCAGTCTTGGACACCTAGTAGCAGCAGCGCTGTCCATGCACTTTTCGCAGGGAACGGGATTTCAAACAGGGTCACTACTACAGCCTCAAACCGATGGTATTGAAATCTCGTTGAGTGACGAGGACAACCTGCCACCTCTCTCAGAGGCCTGTGATCTGACTGATGCCTAGTGAGTTTTTGACAACTCACTCTATTAAATGAGACATGGTCAATCTGCTAATGCATCATTCTCAGTTTTGAGATTGGCTTTCACAGAGTCTCTCCTTTTATGAGTAAAAGTCGGGCATATGAGCAGATTGAACGCTTGTATGACAATCGCTCTGCCTCGAGTTCCCCATTGGAAAGAAAAAATGACTTGTATCAGCTATTCATGATATTTGCTGTTGGGCAACCATTTTCGAGGCGACCATCATCAAGTAAATCTCCAATCCATTACTATGCCTCCGCCATGCAATACGCCGAAGAAGTCTTGTCACTCACAGATGGCGAGACACAAATACAAAATACTCTGCTACTCCTTGTTTTCGCTCATCAACACGCTACTGGAAGTGAGTGACCCTACTAAACATTGTGGAAAGCTGTATTGACTCATATCCTTCATCTAGTTGGTAGCAGATGGAAACTGGCAAGACAGGCTATGAGGACGTGTATACAGCTCGGATACCATAGAGCTCCCTCCAAGCTGCTAGATGCGGTAACTGAACAAAGGCGCAGACGGCTTTTTTGGTGTTGCTACGTCCAGGAACGATTTGCTGCATGCGGTTTGGGGCGGCCTATAGCGATTGCTGATCATGATATTACCGTTCAGGTAGGCGTACTCAAAGATTGGCGGCATTGTATGTACTCGCGTGCTAAACAGATGAATTTAGATGCCCGACTACGTCTGTCTGGATGACTTGGAAAAGGGGCTTGACACAAGTATACCAAATGGATCTGAGGTTGCTGTACTCATCCGACAATCTCAGCTGCGAAGAATCTCAACAAAGGTCCGCGAACAGCTCTATGCAAGACGTACAAACGACAGCTTCCAAGCCAAGGCAGAAGCCGCTACTCTGCTCTATGCGGAGCTCGAACAGTGGCGCCTCTTACACGAAGAAACAAGCACAATCTCTCATTCCCCATGCATCTTTCTGACAAAAGAGTACATGGAAGTTAACTTTCATCGAGAGAAGCTCTTTATTTTCTCTACATTAGTCGTACCGACGGGGCAGGAGGCGCACTTGTTTAAGCCTGACGTGACATATCTCAGGCATTGCTTAGACCCAGCCGTTCAAATCATCTTCCTTTATCAAACTCTGTTGGCCAAGGGTGTCAAGACGACATTATGGTAAGCGACATCTGATCTAAGTATGCTCTAATTTGGTGAATATACTAATTGGATTTTACATAGGACATGGATACAGGATATACTACGCTCCGGGTTCATGATTCTATACTGTGGAATCCACACATCAAACATTCTCAGCAGCCAAAGCGAAGCCGCTGCTTCTTCTATAGCCACAAACCAGATTCCGGAACCTCAGTCAATCATCAAAGCCCTCGACGACTGTCGGCAGATGCTAAAAGATATTTCTCTAAAGTTCACAGCGGTGACTCCACATTGGGTGGCTTTTGACCGGCTATCCTGTGACGTGAGAAAGTTAATTGAGAATAGCTCATCACCAGGAGCGATGCTGGGTGGACATAACGATATGTCCGTGAACCAGACGATGAACCAGGGTCTTTGGGATGTGCCGATGGATATGTCGTACTGGGATGACCTGTTGGATGGGGATGTGAATATGAACGAGGTGTTTGGTTTTGACATGAATACTTTTGCATGATGGGCAAGCTGAGATACTCGGCGAATTATTAGATGATGAAACGGCATATGGAGCTTGGGAGATGTGGAGGCTGATGACCACACAAATTACTATCAAATAAATCAGTTATTAATATACATGAAGGTGTGGCGATGGCCTCGTCCTGAAAACACATAGAGATGCCGACTATTTAACGCTTCCGGAAGTAGATGGAGATAGATCTTGTAGATGGATATAGATCTAGTAGAATAGACCTGGTAGATGACGGCTACCTAAACATCATTCGATTCACTGGATTTCATATCCCCCCCTCGTGACGGGTCCTAAGCTAAGGAATACAGCGCACTCACGTTGTTGAGATGATTGGTCCCGTATACTTGTCATCCGAACTACAAATTAGCTTTCTTTTGTTCCTAGTGTACATTCGCGCTGTGTCGCTGCAATATGGGCATTAAGATCCCCTCTCCTTCGCCTCCTCCTTACGGAGCCTATCTATCAGCTTGCCTCTCAAGAACGGGCTCAAGCCAAGGCTTGAAACAGCAAGGTTAGCTCAGAGAGAAAGAAAAGAGAGAGATGACAAGCAGTCGGATTTGTTCAAAACTTACATTCCTTCATTTGTCACGATTCTGTACGTCCCGCTTGGCTGAAGCTTTCCGACGACTTCTCCAGACTCGTCCACCTCAACGCTCCCCAAGATATCTTCCGGCCAGGCAATCCGGCCAAAATCAGGCGGATTCCTGCGATCACTCAGATGAACGAACCCGCCTCGACCTGCACCGCCCGGCCCGCCCTGCGCACTCGCTCCTCCGGCTCCATCCCCTCCAGCTCCGCCGCCTCCTCCCTGCTTCCGGGAAGATCCTCGATGGCGCTCTTGGTGCTGGCCGGGGAAGAATGAGCCGCCGGACCCGAGATTGAACCCTCCTGGACTGGCAAAGGCTTTTGCTTGCGCAATCACATCTTCATCTTGATGGCCGTATTCAGATACGACCTCGTTGAGAATCGATACAAACTTTGGGTTCTGTGTAAATGAATGAGGTGTCGGGGGAACGGCTGTGGTAACGCCAATTGCAAGCGTTTGAGAAGGAGGATTTGAGTCTAGATAGGTGAGGATATGTGATGACGGTGCTGTTGCATTGTCAAAGACTTTCTGGAGTGATTTGGTCAGCTCGTCAGTTCTCAGTGTAAAACGGGGTTGCTTTGCGACTGACAATGTATGAGTTATTCTTCAGAGTAGACACTGCTCTGAGAAACACTCTTGAGCTTTGGTGAGCTATTCGAAATTTGGTTGATATCATGTTTGCGGCTGTACAAGTCCCCCAATCGGATTTAAATAGAGGGAGAGGTTAATGAAAATATAGCCCAGCAAATTAAATCGCCAATGAGGTCATTCAGAGCTTGAGCTTCTGGCAGCTCAGACTTTACCCCACGCTCCCCGGTATGCGCATTTATGCATCTATGCGAAATCAATTAGACGCGTCGACGCGGTCTCCCCTCCAAAAGTTCGCGATAGATGAGCTTAGGTGGGCTATCAGCTAAAACTCGGGCAATTGCTGTCTCGATTTTTCTATCTCGTGTTTGATGCAATGCCGACTTCAAGCTTTTAATCTCGACAGCATCAAACCATGGACAAAACACCGGCCCCCATCTTCCGCAAGCAGCGTCCACTGATCCCATCATCATCGGTGGCGCCCTCATCGTCGCCGGCATTCGGAACTCCAGTCCACCCTCCGAAGCCATTCAGCATCAATGCCCCCAAAGCCGCGATCCTCCCCATCATCCTCCCGCCGGCGACTCTCCGACCGCTCGCCTTTCGCACATTCACAAAGAAGCACTCGCTGACGCTCACTTCGTCGGCACTGCAGGAGCTTGCGTCCTTCATCGGGCGACACTGCGGTTCGGGATGGCGTGAGGAAGGCTTGGCAGAAAGAGTGCTGGAGGAGGTGGCGAGAAGTTGGAAGAATCGAAATGGCGGCGTCATGGTGGAGGGGGCGAGCAAGGAGCTGCAAGACATCCTCAAGACGCTGGAGGGAAATATGAGTGGCGGCAAGATCATGGGCCAGGGCAGAGGGCTTCCACGGGGAGATAGCATGCTGGAGATCAACGACAATGATACAATAAACACCAGACTCGGCATCAGACCAACGGCACTCCCTCGGCAAGACAGCAATGTTAGCTTTGGCATGTCTGGATTGGGGGTGCAAGAGGAGGCGGATGATGATGAGGATGCCAGCGATGCTCGGGCCTGGCTCAAGGTCATTGACGCCTATGACCAGCCGCGGCTCCTTTACAACGTGGATAAGAAACACTTTGAAAGGTGAGATATGCCACATTACCCTCTACTCATGTTATATTGCAATTCAAGCTCACACGTGGACTATAGAGATACGGCCAAGCCCTCATTATTACCTCCAGCTTCTCACAAAACCACCGTCTTCCGAAACCGCTACCACGTCATTCACCAACGCCTCCTCCGAAACGAATCCTTCCAGACCTCTTCCGTCACTTCATCCCGTAAACATACTCTACAACGCTCGCTCTCCAACCAACAATCTCTCAGAATCACGCCCATTGCCAATTTGCTCGGTCGACATGGAAGCAATCACATGCTCTTGGGCCAGCTGAATATCCTACCGACAGGAGACCTCGCCATAAGTGACCTAACAGGCACCATTGCCCTTGATGTTTCACAGGCGGTTGCCATCCCCGATGATTCAGCATGGTTCTGCCCCGGAATGATGGTCCTTGTAGACGGCGTGTACGAGGAGGAGGAAGAATCAGTTGGTAAAGGTCTGAGTGGTAGTAGCGGCGTTGGAGGCACTCTTGGAGGCCGATTCCAGGGATTCTTCATCGGACAGCCCCCTTGCGAGAAGCGTAAGTCGACTCTCGGCATCAGTGGGCTCGATGGAACCGATCATGACCAGACCATCGGGGGAGGCTTCGGCTGGATCGACTTCCTCGGCGTCGGTAGTGAGCGTGCAGTCGGATCCAAAATGCGAAGGCTGGAGAGAAGATTACTACAGCCGGCCCCTGAAGAAGACATGCCCTCGCGGAATCGCGTCGTCATCATTGGTGAAATCAACCTCGACCAGCCGCGAGCCCTTCAAGCCCTCCGCAAGATCCTGTCATTATACGCCGCCGAGCCCGAAGGCACGTCGCCCCTCACATTTGTCCTGGCCGGCAACTTCACGCAACACGCTGTCATGGCCCGAGGTGGCAGCGGCGGCAGCATTGAGTACAAAGAGTACTTTGACGCCCTTGCCTCTACCTTTTCCGACTTCCCCACGCTTCTCCAGTCCTCCACCTTTGTCTTCGTTCCCGGTGACAACGATGGCTGGGTCTCCTCCTTTACGGGCGGTGCTTCCGTGCCACTGCCTCGAAAACCTGTTCCTGAAATGTTCACCTCGCGCATCCGTCGCGCTTTTGCCACGGCCAATGCCGAAGCTGGCAACACGGGCGTTCAGGGTTCTGCTATATGGACGAGCAACCCTAGCAGAATGTCGCTTTTCGGACCAAACCACGAGCTTGTCTTGTTTAGAGACGATATATCCGCCAGACTGAGACGTACCTCGGTAACTCTCAAGCGCAAGCCCGCCGCCGAAACAGATGGTGCGCCAGAAGACGACGCCTCTCCCGATCTCCCATCAGCGTCACCTGCTGTCGAGGACGACGCCATGGATCTTGACTCGGCTGCCGCTGACAAGCCCTCTGCCAACACCTCTTCCTCTCTTCCTCTCGACGTGAAAGCAGCCCAGAAACTCGTCAAGACGATCCTCGACCAGGGCTACCTCTCCCCTTTTCGCCAGTCTACCCGCCCCGTGCACTGGGATTACGCTTCCGCGCTGCATTTATACCCTTTACCCACTGCCATGGCGCTTATTGATACGACGGCGCCGCCGTTTTGCATCACGTATGAAGGGTGTCATGTTATGAACCCGGGGAGCATTCTCGTGCCTGGGCGGAAGGGCGTCGGAAGATGGGTAGAGTATGAGATTGGGCGGTTGGGGAAGCTGAGGGAGTGTACTTTGTAATCATGTAGGCACAAGCATTAGAGGGAAATAGGGTCTGTTGATATAAGGGAAGAAAAGGGAATCTTGCTTGGTGGGATATGGAATTAGATGTAGCATCACGTAACGCATGAAATAACTACCCAGTCAGGGACGACTAGACAATGGATATGAAACACATTATGATGAAAATTGATCAAACCGAGACACAATATTGCCATGTTATATATCTCAAATATTCAAGAAATCAAAAGCCTTGCGCCATCATGATTCGCTTCATATGCTTCATTTGATCCTTTCCCGTCATGAATATCCAAACCCATATTATTTTACCCCAAAAAGTCGTGTATGCTTGGGTATCTAAAAACACCTTTTCACTCATCCTATTTCGTCTTGCTTCTCGTCGTATATTACTCCAACAGCAGTTCATCTTGATGCAAGACTCCATACAGGCCCTCAATCTCCTTCTTAATCTTCTTCAATTCGGCGGCCACCTGCGCCGTGACAAGGGTATACGCATAAAGCAAAGCATAATCTTTTTCTTCCGTCATGGCCTGAACAGCATCGTCCTCACCGTTTCTCAAGTTCATCTCCATATGATTCTTGCGGTATTGATAGATTTTGTTCAAGAGGCGGTCTCTGGTACGGTCAATAGTAGGAATGGCATCCGTAAGAGGATACTCCAGCATAACGCACGACGCCAGGACTTGGAAAACGTGGCATAGGCGTTCGCACAGCTGTACCCTTTCAGCAGCCGTAATTTCCAGCAGGGCACTCTCGCCCTCTGAGAGCGTGTCTCGACGCTGTGTAATGAGACGCATAGCGTAAAGGCCGTCTAGTATGTGTTTCGTAGAGCGCATAATGCGGCCATAGGCAGCGTCAGGGAACGGCCCGCGAAGTTCAAACTCAGATTTAGCAGAGTCTCGCAGCGACTCCAGTTTGAAAACTGTATACAGATAACACTGATTAGCGAGAGTAATCAGACACGTAAAGGGGGTTTAACCATACCATATCGCCGAAGGGCTATCTGTTCGCCCTCCTTCATGAAATCCATACCATCATCACCCCCCTCTAGCAAAGCAGCCAGAGGTCCGCGCTTCCAAATGAGCCCAAGCTGCAGATATAGCACCGAGAGTCCCTCTCTGAATTTCTTCCTCCCAGAGATTGGCCACAGCAGTCGACAGACGAGAATACCCCACAAGATTCCCAACGTAACCGCCACTACACGATGGTACGTAATCTCGAAAATGAGGGGATCTATTCCACCCTCATCGTCATCGTCATCATCAACATCTTGCGTCAAGCTGTAAGCATACAGCACAATGACGTTGTATGCCAGAAGCGAAATTCTCCCCAGGGGAGCCTTCTTCATGACTAGAATCACATAAAAGTTTCCCAGCGCGACAATGACGGTGCAGAGCTCAAGGAGCCAGGGATTGGTCATGCTTATCGACCATGCGAAGCAAGCACAGGTTCCCCCTATTAGGGTTCCAATGAATCGGGAGCTACCCGTTGTGTTGGAGGCACCAGTTGTCATTCCGACAACAATCATGTAGGACAGAAGACCCCATTCGCCCCTCCAGTGTTGATACACTGGCCTCGTAGCAGGAATGAAAGCAAGCATGGCCCATAAAACGGCACCAATACCTACTTTGATTCCAAACAGCACATCCTCGCGCGTTAGGAATCGAAGAAACTTTAGTAAAGCCTGGGAGCATTTGCGAACAAAGGAATTGGAGTTCTGCGGTGAGGCATCCCAATGAAACGAGTCTCTCTTCTTCAGCATGGCCTTGGGTAGACCCTGAGGGGTAGGTGACTTCATTCGGCCCCTCGGCTTTCTGACCAGGAGGGGTTCATGTTCTGCATCACGGTCGCTGCGGCGTTGAAAAAGCTTCCAGTGCCTCCAGAACTTGAGCCACCTCCAGCTTCGATCTTGATGTGCCACCGGATTTTGCAATGATTCAAGCACATCGAGGTACGCATCCATTTCCTCAGCCACTGCCTGCAAACTGAAGGAAAAGTGGCCACAAGCAGCGGCAACTTCTTCTATATCAGCTTGAATATTTTCGGTTCGCGATCTTCCGAGCTCGATGCTTCGATATAATTCGCGAAGGGCCTTGCCTCTGGCATTGTTGTACAGATTCACAGCATCCCGGAGGCTAGCACGCAGATGCACATTGACAGCCACCTGGTCTTCGGGGTGCTTGCCAAAGGGGTTCTCTTTCAGCGTTTCTGATAGAGTATACGCCAAAGATTTCATCGAAGGGCCCAGCAGTGCCAAAAAGAGCGCG